GTTGTCCTTCACTATCTTCAATCAGAGTTTCTTCTTTTGGATACATTAAAAAGTCCACCCCATCCGAAGTGCTGCTCCTGCCACCCGCACTTTGATTCTCTGCTTCCGACAAGTGACGAAACAGTTCTCCTTCTCCAGCAGTACTAGACCCTTTAACTTGACGAATCCCTTCTAAGTCTTGCTGTTGCTCGATCAAATCTATCATTCTGGCTTGGAGCTCATCTCCGACTCGCAAATGCATCTGGGCAGCCCACGTGCCTGGCTTTGGCGCTGCCTTCAACCGCACACGAGTGCAAGAAGAACAGATCAGAACCTGTGAACCGGGCATGCCACTCTCCGGGATCGGTTCTAGCATAGGAGGCTCCAGACCCAATGGCGGCATCGACGAGTCTTGCTCTTCCTCTTGGGGTTCTTTGATACCAGCAGCATTGTTTGCTCTAGTTGCGTTGCTCATCCTTGTAGGCCTAAGTGTACCACTGCCTTTGGGACCTCCTGGTCCAGGGACTGTGAGTATTTCCGCAAAGCTCGAAAAATAACGGTCTACACTTTTCCCAGAGCTAGATGCAGAGCTAGATACAGATTTGCTTCCTCGCGGCTTAAAAACCGCGTTAACCGCACCACTCAGACTCCTGGCAGCATTCACGCCTCTACTCCTGAAAGCATCAACGCCTCTTGCCAACATGCCAAGCATGCCGCGGCCTCGCATGCTACTTCTAGTGCCAGTAGCTCCTCGATCTTCTTGTTGACCAGCGTTACCATCAACATCATCCTCGTCCTTTTCCGGTGGAGCTTCATAGGGTTTCAACCTGTCCTCGACGTCCAAGAGCAAAAACTCCACTTGAGCGCGCTCCTCTGTGAGTTTTTCACGTGCTTCTAGGAATGCGTCGGACAAGGCTTCTCGGCTTCTTTCTCCAGAACCTCCAGAAGGGACAGCTTTCTGCTTCAGCACCTGGCGGACGCAGTAACTTCGACTCAGGTAGAAGTAGTCACTCATCTTCATTGTATTCCTCGTCTCAGCAGGAACAGCTGCTGCAGATGCAGTAGTTGTAGGACTTCTAGCACTCCCACGAAGATGTCCGTTACGTTGTTCTCGACCAGCAACAGCAGAAGCGCCAGTACTTCTCGTAGTACCTTGATGTCCTTCTAGATAGTATCCGATTCCGACATTTTGCATGTAGTACGTTTCAGTTTCTCTTGTTAAGATCATTGACGGTGCTGCAAACCCAAACACAGGGTTCCCTTCACTATCTTCACCTACTTGTAGATAGTCGGAGCACAATTTTCGTTTTCGATAGCGTTCCATACGTTTTTGCATTTTTGCCAGCTCCTTTTCCATCCTAGAGACCATCAGGCTAACAAGTTCCTCTTTCTTCAATGCATTCGCATGTTTCTCAGCTACTCTATTTTTGTTCTTTGGAGACCCCCTTGCTCGTTCTTCCGCCAGTTTCGCGATCTTGGCAGTATCTCTCCCCTTCTGCTCTTTAAGGTGTTTCAAAACCATCTTTTTCTCATCGATGGCCGTCCTAAGATCCTGTTCACGCTGCGCGTCAGGATCTTGGGTCTCCGGCGGATACTGTCGCTCTATGTCTTCTTCGTCAGAGGAAGAGGAACTACTTAGAAACTCCTGCTCATCTACAACTTCAGTACTATCATGCAGTACTTCACTTTTTTCTTCTTCTTCTTGTCCGCCAGCTTCGGAGGTCGCGATGCTTCCGACTGCAGCACGTTGTAGCGCATTTTCTTCTCCTTGTCCAGCATCATCCTCTGCTGGTTCTTCTTCCGGTGAGGCATCTCCACCTCCTGGATCTTCCAATGGTGTTGCCGTATTTGATGCTTCCAATTGTGTTACAATCGCAGGAGCAGCCGTGTTATTTGCCATTTTTCGTTCTAGCTCCTGTTTGAAAGCTGCCCTACTAGCCTCCACAACTGATGGAGGAGTTCTTGTAGGTGTACTTGGCAGTGTCTGCGTCGGAGTGGATATGTCAAAGTGCTTAGGTCCTGTTGCTGCACCTTTTTTGCTGGTCCCATCCACAGGTGGACGGGGAAAAGGTGGAGTTGCTGCACGTCGGCCTTTGCTGGCGCTCCCATCACCAGAACCACGAGAAGGAGCAGGTCGTGGAGTATAATCTCTTCTGACAGATGCTGCAGGAGCGGCTTTAGCATTTACCTTTAGAACAAGGGGAGCAAGACCAAATAAGTAAGCATTTTGAGCAGAAGATTTGCCTGTACTGCTGCTCGCGTGTCGGGGTTCTCTCATCATTCCTGGTATTGGTGGTATATTTGGTTTCTCTTTTTCCAACTCAAGTTCAACATCAGAAGAAATCTGAAATGTTTCTAGACCTGTTTCCTTTGGTGGAACAGACTTCATCTGGTGGTCTTCTTGGTGTTGATGTTGGTCCAACAGCACCTCACTACTTGTTACAACATCTATTGACTGCGGTTTGGGTCTCGTATTTTTCTTAGGCATGTCAGCTGCTCCTGATGTCGGTAATTCTTCAGGCTTTTTGGGACTGGCTTGTTTTCCACCTTCTCTTTTCGGCTTCACCAGTTCTCCTGCAGGTTGTACAACTGCTCCTCTTGAATTTGGCAGAACAGCTGCTTTAGAAGTTGCCTTAGAAGTGGTCGCTTTGGCTTTGGCTTTGGCTCTGCCTTTTCCAGCAACAATTTTCTCCTTCTTTTCCTTCTCTTTCAAAGCCTTTTGCTTTAATCGTCTTTCCGCTCGACGCTTCCGCAATGCCGCGACTGTAAAACTTTCATCTTGAAAATCTTCGTCTTCATCTTGGTCGTGGTCCGTTCGGATAGAAGTAGGCGCACTTCGTCGAATAGGACTATAATCTTCTTCATGTCCTTGTACTGGAGCTGGATCATCAATATTTTGATCTAGTACTTCATCCTCAGAACTATCAGAAGCAGCACTAGCGCTAGCACTAGTACTTCTGACTTCATCTGAAGTAGAGCGAGAACTTTCAGATGATTTTGACCTTTTGGAGGATCCAAGTGTAGAGGAGCCAAGAGCAAGTACATACGCTTTTCTGTAGAACTGACGCAAAACAGCTTTCCGCTTTTTGTACTCCTGGAGAGAAAGTGAGCCTGAGTTTTGTTGATGTGGACTTGTCGTTCCACGTCCGGGAGTTGCTTCTTCTACTTGCGAAGACGATGAGTTTCGTTGACGTCGTCGTGGAGTCGTTTCAGGTCCTCCACGACCTGCCTCCTTCGGACCTGAAACTGACGAGTGTTCTTCAGCTGGATTCGTAACTGCGTTTTGATCAGGGTGATGTCCACTTCCTCCAGGAGTAGCCCCCGCATGATGTGTATCATTTTGAGGATACAATCCAGAAGTAGCTACAGGATCAGCAGGGTTTCCAGGAGCAGCTACAGGATCAGCAGGGTTTCCAGGAGTAGCTACAGGATCAGCAGGGTAGCTTCCAAGAGTGCCATTAGGATCAGATGAAAACATATAGGAATATACCCAAGATCCTAACGATTCATCAGCTGCAGGTCCCTCCATAGCAAAGGCTGTACTAATCCAGATGAGTCCAAAGGTGGCCACGAGAAGCGTGGCCGCGGAACGAGGACTCTTTTTCAAGACCATCATCTTGATCTTGTAGTTCTTGCTCATTTTTGCTTCATCAAATAAGAGTTCTGCTTCTAGGTCGTACAGGTTGGTAAATATTCTAATTCTAACTAATTGTTGTTCTTGTACTGTCTTAGTCTCAGTCTAGTAATTCTTTCAACTCCTCGGGGCTTCGAATGAAGTTGATGGTAGATATTTTTCTTATTCTTATTCTAATAAGAGTTTTATTCTAGGGACGACATCTAGGGACAAAGAATTGAAGATCTACATCTTGGTAGTTACGAACTATGATCATACATGAGAAAAAGAAAAAGACTGAAACTGCTTGTTCTAAGTTATTCATTGGTATTTCACAGGATATCTTCCACACTGGACCAAACCAAAGGTACCAGGGATCTTCCACGTCGACCTAGTAGTTTTTACGAGAGTAGCAACTTAGAAACGTCTTCGGCATTGCTGGCTCTCGTCTTATTCACGTTGCAGAAGTAGCTGTTTCTCTTATTCCTCGTCCCTTCTATCTTCCATATGTATCTAATCTTCAAAAAAAAAATTATTCACTATCAATTGGAGTCGCAAACATGATTACATCTTCTATCAATCTAAATCTATGTAAGCGTGTCCAAATTCAATCGCAATCGCTTTGTATTTCTTTCTCACAAGAATAGCACGGTGGCCAATCGATGAAACTTAGAAGTAGTACTTCTCGTATCAGTTGTTACGCCAAAAGACCTACGACCCAGTTTCATCAGCCCAAAGCCCTTTGCGCTGGTTTTCATTGCGGTAAGTTGAAAACAAATTTTGTATTGACATCGTTAGAAAATGATAGGTGGCAAAAAGCAATGGCAACAAGAGGGACAGTGATTACTACAAGGCAGAAGAGCAAGGTCGTTAGGAATGAAGAGTCTACGGGGATGTAGGAGCAGGGGGTCTCTCTCTCTCTTGTGTTTCAGTCAATTTTTCTTCTGGGAAGTAGCAAGATCTTGCAGTTTTAACCACCCATCTTTCAAACATTGCTGGTTGGAGGTGGCACTTACTAGCAATATTCGTTGCGGGTACTGCTGCCTTCTGACCTTCAATACAAAGACGTGTATCCTTGTCAAAAAGATCTATGATTAGCTCAGTTTTGATCTCTACAGATGCCAGTGAGTGCTGGCGCTGCTGTTGAAATTCAAATTAGTAATGACCTTTTGTTCTTGTTGTTGATGAATTCTACGTCCGAGACCTCATATTACCGTTACCGATTGCTTGAATGTTGGTAACTCATACTTCATATTCTTGAAGGGTTGTTGATCTTTTCCTTTGCTTGCATGTTGTCGTGTTTGTTACTCCTTCTAATTCTTACCCGCTGCATCAAACATTTGGCACTGTTGTTGATCTATCTGCTAAACCTAGTCTAGATCTTGGTCGGCCTTTACTCCGCGAGGCCGTGGATTTTCTCGCCTCTCTTAAAAAATACTAATACTTCTAAATGCACATTCATCGGAGAGGGTCTACGCCCACAAGGTGAACTTGTTAGTACGTATGAACCAGTGTCGTGCTACAGTCGGCGTCCGATGATCATGGGCCCGACAAGATATGTCGCAATGTCCCGATCTTGTAGTTAATCAGAATTGAGAGAGTACACTTTTTGAGCAGAGGAAGAGAAAAATCTATGGGAATGGGAAACGTATTAAAGAGCTTGTTGTAACATGGGATTCAGCGTGGTGGAGACGTTCTTTAACAATGTCGTTGTTCTTCTCAATCGTAGCCTGGTGGTCACCATTCCAAATCTTCAGGCTGTACTAGCCTTCCAGCGTTTTTAATGCAATTCCTCTCCACGTCCCTTTTCAATGGTTTTCTCATATCAAAGGCATCCTCTTGACCCCCATAATAGCCTTCTACTCGTCTGTAGATGACATACCCCAGTTTTTCGTAGAATTGCAGCGCTACTTTATTGCTTCCCCTTACAAACAAATCGACGAAGAAGCAATCGAACTTCTCGTCCTCGCTTAGGTCCTCCAAGTAGTCCATCAATTGTCTCGCTACACCGGAACTTCGGAACTCATTCGCCACTGTAATGGCTGATATGTGCGAATGCCACAGATCGCCCTCGCCCTCCACTTTCCCTATCAAATAACCGCACAACGTGCCATCACAGGTTTCCGCGACAGCGCAGCATTCAGGCCACTGGAGCAGGTAGGACATGTAGAACTTAGTATGAAACGTCTCGGTCCACTGGTCCAGGTTGATCTCTGCTAACCGCTCCAAGTCCGAGACCCGCATGCACCTGATGAAACAGGCGGTGCCGGAGGACATCTTGTTGTTGTTGTTCTACTTCGAGTTCGAGTAAAAAGTAGTTATACTCAAGTATAATTTCGCTATAATGTTTCGACTCAGAACAGGTGTGTATAGTATAGCTTTCTCTTTCCCTAATTACTTCTTAATCGTGAAAAAATACTACGAAAACCAAAACAACACCAAGAACCACTACCTGTCCGTTTTTTAGACATGAAGAACCGTCTTCTTGTTTGTTACAGGTCAAACCGAGTGGTCAATGGAGGAAGATTGGAAATTTCACTACTGTTGAATTCCGTTGAAAGAGCGAGTTATTTCACGGACGCAGCCAGCAGGATAACCGGTGTTTTCACGCGATGTCAAGAACAAGATCCCCAGCTGTACTGCAACTTCTACTGCACGCTACGGCAGCAAAAGTAAGGCAAATGTTGGATTCAGACTCCTCAAGAACAGCGACGTTCGATCGATTTCCATTTTTGTACAAAGCTTTTTACTTGATATTTTTACGTCAAACAACAAAGGAAATAAGGTCAGCAGTAGCAACGAAAGAATTTCAAAAGTGACATCTTGAACTACCATTTTGCATAACGAAGCAATTGACTTTCTACGATTCAAATTCTGGAGAGGATCAGAATGAACATGACCAGGTGGAATCAGGACAAGCATTCACGACGCTGTCATATCTGTTTTCACACATCCTCCATGACCTGCGAAGTAAGCGTTTTGGCCTGATCTGCCTAACTCCGCAGCTGTCTCCCCGAAGCCACTTCGCGACAGCACTACGGCTGTCGCATCCTGCAGCAAATACCAAGAAACGAATGCAGGGACTATGCCATTCAAACGCTTAGCTGCCTTAGATCGGTCCAAATGACTGATTTCGTAGTTCGTCTCTTCTGGAGACGTTGTTCGATCCTCTTCCTCCTCCCTTCCTTCTACCTCAGTATTCGCCAACATCTTCAATTTACCACTTCGGATTAGAGTGCGTACTTCTGGTAACCGTCTGACACGGTCTGTGTCGCTGGCAAGATACCAAGGGAGACCGTCGCTTTTGCTAATTGTAGAAGATGTTGACCAGGCACTTCGACTCGACGTTCTTTCTGTACTAGATGTTGAAGAAGGTGAAGACGATGATGAAAAGAGCATTCTCGGAGAAAAAATCTCTGCTTCTACTTTCCAAGCACATGCGAAAAAGTCGTCTACTAGTGATTGTAATGCATGTCGCGACGGATCCCACCACGCAGATTCGTTGCCTGCTCGGAAATGAAGTGCTAAGTACGTTAGAACTACCGCGCTCCCATCCCCGAGAGCATCCTTGGCTTCATCTTTTTCATCAAGCAGAAAAAGGACCAAGGATGACGCTGAAGATGCTCTTGCTCGAGCGGTAGCCTTAAATATGGTTGATAGGTGGATCCAGAAGAAGATGTGTCCTGTTCGTACTCGCCTATGTGCAAATTGTCTCTGGCGTTCTGGATTTGGTTCTGCAGAAAGAAACTTGGTCGGAACAGAAAATGCCAGATCATCTGCGCTAGGAAGGGGGTTCCGGATAGACCAAGTCGCACAGATTTGTCGCGGAAGAGAGGATGGTTGAGAAACTGCCCTACTTCTCGTAGATTGGTGTTTATCTGAAGTCAGTTGTGGAGGAATCAGAAGATTATTAGGATCATAGAAAAAAGTTAGAATTACTCTACCAGGCACGACGAAAATAAATTGCGACAAAATAACTGGTAAGCGAGAGAGAAGAGCCCCCGGGAAATACAGGCAATGATGGACAAAATAAAAGGAATCACAATCCAACGATGTGCTTGTACTTGATTAGATCTGCATGTAAGTGAATCCAAAATGTCCAACATGTCTTACCAATATCGTCTCTGCCCGATTTGCTACTAACCATGGAATCTCTTGGTGAAACCGCGTGTCATGGGCGTTGACCATATCGAGGCTGCTATCTAAGTGCTCCACTCGCCAGTCAATCACGTTGGCCGTGAAAAGCATAGACCATGGCACAGGGTTTTCCGAATCTAGATAGAAATCCCGACCGAGCAACAGAGCTAACAAAAAAGCGTTCACTATCCCTTGTGCTCTGTCACCGTGACCACCGCATAGCGTGTGTGGCGCACACGAGTATACGAGACGGGGACGACGATGCTCTTGTTGCATACTTTCATGCTGATCCTCTGTCGAAAAAGCATTCCCAAACCTCGATTTCCAAAGTTTGAACAATGTTTCTGGTTCAGGCTCGAAGTATTCAGTGTGTTCCTGGACGTCTAGCCATGAGCAATGCTGTGGCAAGTCCGCAACTTCTCCGGGTTCTTGGGCTTCTGATTGCAGGAAGTCAATGACCTCAGCAAGATCATCTGGCTTTAACTGGGGAACAAGAATGGTTTGTTCTCCTTGCTGATGTTCTACGTCTTGTTGCTCCATGTCTACTTGTTTGCCTCCATCTTCACCATCTGCACTGGATGTTGTGCTGCTCCTAGAATCTCCTCCATCTTCGCTATCCTCCTTGTGCCAGTTTTCGTCTGTTACTGAATAATCGAAGGGCGTCTCATAGTCTGCTATCGAAGATAGAGGACCTGATTGCCCCACTAGTGTGGTGGCAACCCACTGTCTTGGTTCTGAATCCCCTAAACTCTCCTCGGGTGCTGCCATCAATGATATAGGTGTCGCAACTGTTGCAAAGAGAGCTCGCATGGACGAATTAGTATTAGTAGTTGGAGCAGTTCCACCGCTAGTCGTGAGTTTTAACTTGCCTTCTTCTAGTCGTCCTTTTTCGTTCACCTCCTCTCCCACACCAGATACCTTTTGCTCCTGTAGGCTTTCCGCTTCAGCAGTGAGTTGAATTCGTTCTTGCAGTTCCGCTGCTGTCCAAGCGTAGTCGCAAAAAATGCCCTTCCCAAACCCTGCCTCTCTGACCATCCGCGTCGCGACAGCACGCGCAGACAGACTTCCATGATGTTTGCGCCACACAAGGTCATCTAGATTCTTAAAGTCTTGCTGGGGAATAGGGGATGACGACGACGGAGAAGGAGGTGTTGAACTTGTCGACGATGCTTCTAGAGGATTAGCACTTGTTGTCCTTCTTGTACCCGCTAATTTCTTCGTCGTTTCTTTACCAATGTCGACAAAGCTGAAATAGCCCTCACGCACACGCGGCTTGCGGAGTAAGGCGGGAAGTTCAGCGTAGATTTTTTGTAATTGATCTTCATCTAGAGGCTTAGACTCTTGCTCTGGAGCAGGTTCTACCTCTTGTCCTCCACCTTCAACAGATGATGTTGACTCAGCATCATTTGTTGGTGCAACATGATCAACTACATCTTTTTTATTTTCGTCGCCTTCTAGTACTTTTTCGTCTGCTTCGACCTGTTGTTCAGCCAATAACATATCCTCCGGATGCATCAGCGTGATTTCATGTGGACTTACAAAAGTCTGCGTCAGTGCCCCTAGCTGTACTGGTGCATGGTTATGTTTTGGCTTTGTTCGCGTCCAGTCCTCTAGTATTGCAGCACGCACACGCCCGTTCACCGCAAAAGCTGCGTTGATTTCTTCTGCATCTGCTGCCAAAACAGCTGTGTTCTGGTTCTTCTCAGCTACACGCACAACTAGGAGGACGCCATCTGGCAAAGCAGTGCTGCCGGTCTGTTGGGAGTCGACCGTAGAGTACAAGGCGCCTTCGGGATTGACCAGGTGGCTATCTTGATGCCAGACTTCCTGTGCCTGCTTTCCCGCCACTTCTTGACCTTGAGGACCTATTGGCGCAATATCGTAACCACTACTCGAGAATCCTGCTTCGACTATTGGTGCCAATGCATCCATTTTCCTTAGGACGTGGCGGCAGAGTTGTGGTCCGCCTTTTTGCTGGAAAAGCTTGTGGATCAGGTTGTTGTGAACTTTGCCAGCATCCCCATCAACATTCGGTAGAAGGTAAATTTGCTGCAAATGGCGACGCAAAAACTCAGATACTCTGCACGGGCGAAAGATGGTACTTGTCGTCGAAGATGTGGGTCCTGATGTGTGTTGAAGCTCTACTCCTCTTCCCAGAAATACGTCCCTGCTGGTGCCTTGCCCCGCCACCGCTTTTGCTCTTATCAAAGGCGTGCATTTCCTGAGTTCTGCTGTAGAGCACATACTATCAATCTCAACATCTTCAATAACACCTGCGTCACCACGACCACTTACCACATCACCAGACGCTACGACAAATTCAGTCGGAGGTAGCTGCAAAAACTGGCGAGCATCTGCCGAGACGTCTGGTTGATACTGTCTCAACAGCACCTCCAATTGATGCAGTGTTTTCTGAGAAAACGCTCCTAGAGCATGTGCTTGACGGTCCAACCATAGTTGAAACCGGGTAACGAAATGTACCCCAGTTTCGCCATCGGGAACTAAAAACGGACTCAGAACCGCATACAGGAAGGCTTTTCTTGGTACGTCCATCAAATGCAGAGTGTTGCCTTCGCGCAGAGCACGGAAATAGCCTAGGAAACAATGGGGGCCTATCTCCTCCAGCGCAGCGCGGTCACCCTGTCGTAGCCAGCTTCCGAGGCGCTGTAGACGTAGAACGACACTTTCTAGGACATCTAAGGAGGAACCCGGAGCAGAAGATATTGAAGTAGTGGCTCCTACGAGGTGGTCTTCTCCGTATAGTTTACCAGCTAGAATTTCAAGGCCTTCCAGTGGTATGCCATCTACACCACCGGCCACAGGTTGTAGACGTTTCCATGGAAGGATACCTCCTCCAACACGGCTGTCTTTCTCTGCTCCTCCTGAGGAATCTCCTTCCATCATCTCCCTCCTTTCAAAGCACTGCTCGCAGTAGAGTCTCCTCGCCGATCTCTCTACTGCCTCAAGACCGGTCTGTAGAAGCTGCGCTGCTTGCCTTCCAGCATCTCGTCTGGAAAAAGCCACACGCAGACGCCGCAATTGACATTCCCGCATGTACGATAGCTCTGGTGATAATGCTGCTGGTGCAGTTTCATCTTCTGAGGTTGAAGATTCAGGCTCGCCTTCTTTTCCACCATTCACGCGGCTACCTCCAAACTTCTTCAACAAATGCTCTTCCGTGTTCTTCAACAAGACTTCAGCATCCGTGACGAACTGGTTGGTATCCGGTACGAGCCTTCGCTTCAAGGATAAGGCACTCTCCGTCATGGATTGCATGATGCGCACAGCCTCATCGTTGCAGCAGCTCCGATCCAAATGGTAGATCGAAGCTGGACAACTATTCCGAAACCCATCGAACGCTTGTGTTAGGCCCTCAGAAGCGGGGAGCCAGTCTTGTCGATTGCAACCGAGGTCAAAGCGGAGACCCGTTTGCGGAGGATCGTCTTCTTGGTCTTGTTGAGGACTTTCTTGAGAAGCGTCTTCGTTGTACAAGTCCTCTCTGGCGGGGGCACCGTTCTCCTTAGCATCAGCAGTTGCAGTTGTGCCTAGTTGCAGGAGGAGCAACACTAGGACTGGGTGCGAGGTAAGTCCAGCCAAGACCCAAAATGGACAACGTGGTAGAAATCGAGGAGGATGCCGCGCCATGGTCATCCCGTCGTCGGTATGGAGACGCAGACTTATCACATCTTCATCAGTGTTAAATGAAACGTGCCCACGGCCACGACAGACATCTTCATCCTGTCCTAGACCTAGTGCCTAGTGTTACTTACTTTCACAATTTAATCGACATCAAGTTCGTTTCAACATGAATAACCTCGCACTTGCACAATCAGGACGACTCTCACTCATGATCTTCCATCTCCATACGTACTATACTGCATATGGTGTAGTTACTGCCTTTCGTGACAGTCGTAAAGGCGGGTGGAGGCGAACACCACCATATGAGCGCCGTAGGCTACCATGTCTCGTAAAGTAGAGATGAAGTAGTTGTTCTTGTTTCTCATTCTCATAGATGCAAAGATACTGGAACCACATTTGCGGTCATCGCGGATTAGCTGTATTATCCGAGCAGCTGATCATCTTTTTCTCCCTTCATGTGGTGGTCTCACTCAGGGTCAGGTGGTTTCACTCTAGCTTGAGGATCAAAATCTTCTAATTCGATCGCACTTCCAACTTTTGCTTCGTAATCACTTTCTTCTCGCGCTTCGTAGATGCACAAAGGCCGTGAAATAAACGTTATGGGCCCAAGTCCCGGAAGTACGACGTCGTATTTTAGAGCGCGGACCACTTTTCCTTGTAGGAACGGTGGCTTTTTCCAGGTGAGGGTGCGGCCATTTGCCGCGATGACATAGTCTTCTTCTGGTGCGGTTATCTTCATCAGTTGTCGACCAGGAGACCTCCTAGACCGTTCCCTGAGTCTTGCCGTCTTTTTGTCCAAATCGCGCATCCGCCAGACCCCAGTAGCGACCCAAACAAAAGCAACGGCAGCCGTCAGGAGACTTACAATACCTGAAGTAGACAACAGCTTTTCTGACGATGAAGCTCCATCTCCATTTTCAGCGTTCTTGTCCACATTCAGTGCTACCTGGTGTGAAACGGCGACCCCCAGGACCAAAACTAGCAAACCCGAACCACATCTGATCGTAACCCTGTGTATGAAGAGAAAAAAGAAAAACACACTCATGCTCATCACAATTCATGATTCTCAGAATCAATTAGCAAGAAGTAGACTTTTTTTTTCGTTGAACGTCAACACAGTACGACAGCTCACTAATTCTGTTGGGTCACTGAGTTTGCGTGTATTTTTTTCCTCCTCCGTCATATTGTCTAGTTCCGTGAGAAAGGGTAGTCTTGGCAGGCGGTCCGCGATCGTCCATTGTATTGCAAAAAGCGTTAGAAACGCAGCCAACAGCACGTTGAGCTTGTCTCCGGCAAAATCTCTGGAGTTCAAACATATCGTCGAGGTCACAGACACCAGAAACAACACCAGCATCGGCGCCACGCCCTTGTGCAGGTAGTACGTCGGGTCTCGCTGGATCTCGATGCGAAAAAATATGTGTCGGAAGAACATGCCAGACAAGGGAGATTTGTTTTCACCCATACCGTAGACAAAACGTGTCACAGCGAACTCCCCTGAAAGTAAAGGCGCCTCGAAGCGGAAATGCTCGCCTGCACCAGTTGCCGCGCTATACTTCGTCAAGGCACTGTTGGAGGCTTGCGATTGAAGTAGTGGCCCTCCTGCTGGAACACTGCTGTCACTGCTTCCATTTCCAGCAAAGCCCCCTTCAGCTTTTTTCCAGTCTAGATAATCTTGCCTCAAACCCATCCCGTCGAAGACAGCGTCAACCTGACTCGTATTTTCCAACCTAACAGCCCCATTGCAAACAGCCACAAAGTCAAACTTGAAGCCGTCAAACGGGAAGCTCCTTAGCGAGGCGCGGTTCCGTGCATTCCCATCAAGCAGGTCGATCTTCAGAAGCTTACTATCTATCGTCATATGTAGAAAATCCCGTATTTTTGGATCTTTAGAGAAGAACATGGGCAATGGGCCAGGTGGAATCGCGCTAGTCGTTCCTCCGGTTGCACTAGCAGAGTTGGGACCCGAGGACACCGAGGAACCACCTTTACTTTGCGATGACTCTGCCACCTCTAACTGGTGAAAGTTGAACTCGGGCCGCCAAATATTCACCGGAAGTGGCTGTTCAGGTGGAAAGTCCTTCACACGCAAGTCGTTCCAGATCGCATGGAGTCCAATGCGCACCTGCAATTGCTCACTTCCGCCTTCGTGCGCGATGCGAAGTTCGCGCACCAGAATCTTGACACGGACATTCGTGCAGGGATCCGGGCGAGCGGAAAAGTCAATATCTTCTTGCAATTCTACTGGTGCTGCGGCCATCTATTTTGCTCGGCTCTGAAGATGAAGTCAGTAGTTCTTACGGTTAGTAGGCATAGTATGGACCACGACTACGGTGGTCGTGGTGATCTTGATTGTCTCTTCTTTGATCTTGTAAGCCTCGGCGCCTCAATATCCTCTTGTTGATTTGCTCTTGCTCTTGTTGGCTTTGTTCTAGTAGATTCTACTTTCTCTCTCTGCTTTCTATTTTCACGCACCTCTGAGCAAGGTCCTTACTTTCAGCAAATAGAGGGGACATTCATCAAGAAAGTTGTTAGCAAAGCATTGGTCGTTGCTCTATGAAACACGTAATTCGTTCCAACGCGCTACCAGTTTTATCTGGACAGCACCAGGTTTTCGTTCTCATCTAGTACTTCCGGTTTTTTTTTCTTTCACTTCTTGATTGAATAAAGGCCTCTAGGAGAAAAAATGGTCGTCATCACATGGTCAACAAATTTAGGTGGTTGAAAGGTGGTCTAACACCAAATTATTTGGGCTGGTGATTTTAACCGCCGAAAAAAAGGTGTAGAAGTGATTGTCTGACGAGAGGGTAGGACAACGGAGGCGTCGTTCGGGTTGTCAGAAAAGCGACCGGGGAAATACTTCACGATTCCTCTCTGACAATGATGATCCCCTCTGACCATGATGGCACTATGATCCTTCAGCTTTTTTTATAATAAGTCGATACAAAAGAGTCGATGTCAAAAATCAATAAAAGTGTTCGATATTCTTGGCACAGCAAGTTGTTCTTCTATTTGAGGATGATTTCATACTGTATCTTCTTCAAGTTTCATCAAGCATCACTTACCTTCATGTGAGAAGTGATGAACAGCAGCCGAACGTAAGCGTAACTCTTTCTAATATTCGCAGAGGTGTAAATTCCTAAAACTGTAGTAAACCCATGTAAATCCTCTTCTTGTTGCTGGATGCTCAAATCCCGGTTCTTGCTCATGACCCACCACAGCAACTACCCATGCCTCCGCTAGGATTCGCCGGCCGCGATGGGTTAGACAAATCGTGCTGAGAAAGGAGGGAGTTAGATGTAATCTTTAACAAGGGCGGGCATATAATACTAGATGACCTAGAACGGACTAGATCGAGGTGAACATTGTAACAAGTGAAGCGAAAGATGAACAGAAATACATAGAGAGCAAACAACATGAAACAAATAATACCCTATCAGCGTCCTTTTCCTTGTTATTTATTGGGAGTCGTTTGGCTATTTCCAAAAAGACTTCGCGGACGTTCTTCCCCGTCTTAGCACTCGTCTCTAAAAACAGAATGCCCATCTCCTGCGCATAGCTTCTTGCTACCTGTTTGCGTTTGGGATGACACTATGAAATTATCTTGGTCTGTTACTTGTTGTAGTACTTACACTTACTGGCAGAAAGAGAAAGGGAATATAACGTACCACGTCGACGAAAAAAAAGTCGTGTGCTTTTTCGGTCAAAATTAATTGAGCAAAGAAATCATGTTTATCAATCTTTGTAGAACGTCTGAGAGAAACAAAAAGATCGATTCTACGTCCTGCTCCACTTGCCTTGGATAATTTGCCTCTACAAGATCCACTTTATTGCCGCAAAGCGCTATTACTAATCCCTCTTGTGATGCTATTCCTTGAAGCTCGTTTACCTGTGATGCGTATGGTTTGTACTAATGGTAAAAATGTCGTGATTGATTATCCTCAAGGGTTGAATCAGTTGAAGTTGAAGTTAGAAAGTTTGGGATGAGGCTCTTCATGCAAGCGTCTGCTTCTACCTAGACAAAAAAAGCAGTACCCATGATCGCGCGCCGTCGAAGCTTTCCCTGCTTGTAACATCGTAAACTATTACCGCTGCAGCTGCCCCCCTGTAGAAGTGTTTCAAATTCACATCAATAAACGTCCTGCTTCGCGTGTATTCCCACGTCGCACGCACGCTTTGATGAAGAAAAAGAAAACATTGATTTATACAAAAAAATATGTGCCTAGGGCTAGGGTAATACGATGAAAGTACCTGTAATACATCGGCGCAAGAGATCTATATCTTTCTTGCCCTGCCGTGTCCCATATTTCGAATTTTACTAGTGCTTTCGGCTTCTCTAATTCCACTGTTTGCGTCATGAAGGCAGCTGTAGTTTGGATTGGATTTTTGTCTACTGGGAAGGATGAGGACGGTTCGCATTATAGATACTAATCCAAAGGGAAAGGATGAGGCTGTCGTGGCTGTTGTTATTCAACTATAATTATTTGGTTCAAAAAGTAGTCCTGGTTCTGAAGTACCTCCTATCGTTGGCTCCTGATTTTCGTAGAATTCTTCTTTCGCAAAGCGTACTACGAGACATGATTTGCCTACACTAGCATCTCCTAGTAGCACCAACTTAAAGTGGTGTGGCGTTTTCCTTTTGTCTTTTGACATTTTTTTGGCGTGTGAGAGGTCTTCTGTAGCAGACGTGCGTCTCCTTGGAAAAAAAGTAGACCGTCTTCTCCCGGACCAGATGTACTTGACAATTGTTGCTTAGGCGTGGTCGTCGCTGACTTTTACCTTAATAGGCGACGTGGTGCTACTCCTATTGATGTCGCCTTTAAGAGAGTTGGTTTTTTGATGTGAAACCAGCGGTCTCACCTTGTGAACTTGTTTCTCCGGTGCGAGAATTCTCAACTCGAAGAGGAGATGGGGATGTATTAATCCAGTTCCAGACTTGGAGGTACTAATCTAGATGCGCGTGAAGATCGTTATTCCCAGGCTTCAATAGTACTGTGCTAGGTGGACTCGCCCTAGTTTCGTCGATCACGATGCCTTTCCTTCTCCTGTAGTTCTTTTCAGATGACCGCTTCCGTCGGCCGCTGCTGTTCAAAGATGCGCGCGGAGACTGTCTCAAGAACGTGGAGACTACAAAGAGTCCCGGCTGCTGTACTACTTCTACTATTCCGCGGCAAAAAGATACAAGTACAACTATGCGCGCTGTAATTTTTGTCTCGATTCTTCAGCCGGGTTCGAAAAGTAATTGCACTCGTATTGCTGAGTGTAGTCGACTCCAAGCAGCCCGTGATAGTGAGCAGATTGATAACTCACAACGGCATCGGACTTGTCGGATCGACCCTGCCGTAACACTGCCACTGCGTAGTTGCTAATTTCTTGGTCTGGTCACCAACATAACTCCCAGAAGATCCCTCAGCAAGTTTTTGCTCCCATCATTCTTGAAGAAGATATGTCCTTTTTACCATGATCAACATGAGGCGACTCAACTAGAACTACCAAAAAAAATGAACAAAATAAGCCCGCCGCCTTCTAAGAGGCATCAGGCTAAATCATTGGTCCAAAAACATCAACAGTACATTCAAATACACACTACGACTCTTTGTCTATTGCCTTTGTTGAAAAAAACCAAAAATGCACCAGTTCTAGAAATTGGAGGATGCAGCGCCGCGGTTGATTCGCTCACACAAGGATACTTGCTGCATCAGTTTGTTCTCGTACGCAAGCTTTAAAAAAGAAACTGGTGTCCCAAAGATCTCTCCTAATTTCTGCACATTTGCCCAATTCATGAAACTACAAACAGAGAAACTCAACTCCGCTTGAATATCCGGCTTACAAAAATGTAGCGACTCATATTTCCTACGCGATTTTGGATTTCTATCATCTTCTTAGATAGGTGATTCCACTTTCCTTGAACGAGCTACTTGCCTTCAAATCAGAGACAAGTCGTGCTATGGTCAGCGCGACCAAGAACGATGACTAAATACATGCAATTTATTTGTTCCGTTAAAAAGTTATTTTGGTATAATTCATCTTGCTTCGTAGTTTTCTTTCGAAGATACATTGTCATTCTTGTGAAACTTCAGCTCATACATTGTCCATGTGAAAGACCAGACCATGTGAAATTTTTTCCGGAAAAGATCCTTCTGTTGCATCATGCGTGAAAAAGAGCAGTGCTAGATCGTCGTCCTAGTGTTCTGTAGTAGCTGTATCACAAAAAGTAAAAACTGTCCAGAGAAGATGTTGAACATCCAAATCCATTTTTACCTTCAAGACGCTTGTGTAGACTAATCAGCTTCCTGCTCTGCGGTTCCGCGGTTTCGCCACTCTACTCAATCCATGGTAGAGCAGGATAGCCGCCTTCTTGCAGATCGTTCCTCGCTCGCCATGCTGCCGCAAAATTGGCCCAGATCACTGCAGACGGCGCGTGCCGGTACAAGTCTCTAGCAAACGCTTCGTCGCAGAGACTCGTAGGCTCGTTTGGCCGCTTCTCATCCTTTGTAGTGGACGACCCATTATTTCCACCTGATCTAGAATCTGCGGCTTTCTCTACGACCAAACGCCAGAAGAGGACAAATTCGTTTTCCGTTAGGGGTTTCTGAAGCAGAAACTTCGCGTTGAGCCTGCGATTTTCCTCTTGCCCTGCTCGGATCCAAATGCCCTGTAGCTCCTCTATCGAAAGAGTGGAAAAACGACCGCCCATTGTGCTGATGTTCTGTTGGTCGTTTGGTTTTGGTACTACAACTACTTCTAAGTACTTCTTCTACGAGCGCCACTATTTTTGGACTTCTAGAAGAATAACTGGTAGTAGTACGGTAGTCCACGCTAGTCGGAGCGCTACAACAGGTACAGACTAGACGAGGACGAACTCGTGAAGAACCTTCATCGTTACCGTTCGATCAACGTCATCAAGGTTCGTTGCAACTACAGTATCCAAATGTGCCAAGAGACGCGACTCATCCGAGTTCAACAAGAGGTAGCAGCTGCGTCGGTGCGATTTTTCAGCACAGATCGAGTTCGGGTGTGGTGGTCGACGATCGACGAATTCGAGTTGAACTCGAGGTTCGTATAACATCACATACATCTGTTTTATTCGTATTATGGTTGCTCGTCGTCATCGAAGACAGTATTTGTTGTACTTGTTGCACTACAACTAGCCTCGTCAGCAGGAGCCAATCCATCTCGACCTCGAGTAGGTAATCCTCTTGCAGAGGTTGTACAACCATCGCCTTGAGGACTAATTCGAGCCTGTGTCTGTAGTGCAGCAGATGCAGATGAAGATGATGAATTAACTTGTTCCTCCACTCCCCCACGACTTTCTTGCGATGGTGCCGCTAAGAGCCAAGATCCCAGCGCTTTCGCATCTTCCCACATAGATGAGGCCAACTCCTTGCCCAATCCAGACAAGTCTGCACCCTCAACTTCCGCTTTCACGTTATCTGCTACCGCACGACCCCATGCGCTCGCCCTTGCTGAGTGTTGAACCACTGCAGCCCACTGCTTTAGCTGGAACTGGAAGCGCTCACGCGATCTGCAGGAAGGACAAGTAAAACCAGTCAAATTTGGGTCTTGATCTGAAGACTGCCTGGTCGAAATTTGCGTGAAGCAGGAACGGCAAATGGCACCAAAGCAGTCAGGGCAAGCGAAATCCCAGTTGCTACATGCAGCACGATGACACCACATGCAAACAACTGTTCTACTAGTCTCATCTTCATCGGCTTGACCCTCGGCTGTTCGAAGACTGCCGCCACTGACCACTAAATTCCTGCTGGTAGATGAGGTACTTGATGTACTATCACGACCAGTGCTTGCTTGTTGCTCTCGTTCACACTTTGGTTGTTCTGCTGGCTCACGACGGACGTTTGATGATGTTACTTGGAGTCGTGGCTGCGTCGCTACAGCTGCTGCATTCAGAGGCGGCTGACGATTTACTCCTACAGGAGGTGCCAAATCCGGTGCCCCAATTTCGGACTCGAACCAATCAGCGCTCTCGCAAAAGACTTGCCCTAAGTCCTGTACTCCTCGACTCAACCTTGATCTCAGTTCCGGAACTTGGCCTACTGTTTTTGCCACCGCTAATGGGGCAACCATGAAATCGGAGTATTTGCAGTACGGACAACTAGGTGTTTTGAGTTTGCCAAAACAGACACGGCAACAGACGTAGTGGCAACGAGGACAACAGAAATCCAACCAACTAGAATCAACTCCCGGCGAGTCGGGAGAGGTACTATAATTGCCGGGAGTAGTCGTTGCACTTGCAGTTATTGTGCTAGGGCTAGAAGATGAAGATGATGATGCTTTATTCGGCTGGTGCGGTTGTGCTTTAATGGTACTGTCGAAGAACCCTGCCATCATGGTTGCTGTCCCAGGAGCACCAGATGCAGGAGGCCGCAGCTCTTGGTAGCAGATGCCACAAGTCTGCGCCTTTTCAACATCCAGGTTCTCAACAATTACAGATGGCGCCGGTACATTTTCTTCGACTAAGGCTGCAATTTTCTTAGAGCCGTCTTCAAAAGTAGTGCCAAGGAAATTTGACACGCGACGGACGCCGTCAAGCGTAGTCTCAAGAGTGCGGGACAATAGTTGTTCTACGTCTTCGCCTGTCAAGAGAGGCTGGCTTGTGTTTGTGTCTGGAGGTTGTGGAGGATCTTGCAGTGGAGTAGCACTTTCTTTTCTAGAAGCAGAGTGATTTTCTGCAGAAGTTGATCTTGCGCTTGCGTGCAGTTTTGTTGTAGTTGTGCTCCTTTCTGCAGTCGTCGAACCACGTCGACCCGTAGAATCTTCATCTTGCTGTCTTACAACAGTACCATCAAGTGAATCACAAACGCCAGTCGCTGCAACAGTAAACCAAGAGTGAGCGCAAGCTGTGGCTGCGGAAATACGCCTTACTCCACTAACTTTCTCGTCCTTCGGTGAGCACAAGGCACGCAACAATTCTTGCACCGGACGACTCAAAACCCTTTCTTTACTACGCTCTGACTTCTGTACCATCGTGGTTGTTTCTCCATGCAGGCAGAAGAACAACACTTCTCCTAAATCCCGCATGTCCAGTTGCTTTCCTTCTTCAGTATTTCCATTTTCGTTGTTCTTGTCGGTGATCGAGGCTAAGCCAAACCCCGCTAACTTCAGCACATCGTTCCCTGTGAACCACACATTCTTGGCTCTCACACTCTTGTGACAAATATCGACTGCATGAAGGTAACGCACCGCTTCGAACAGCTGCTGCATCCACACGGCTACTAATGATTCCCGAATCATCTTCTTTTTGTTCGGTGTGCTGATGTTCTTGCCAGGTAAAAATATCGGTACCAGGGCGTTCTCAGCATGATTGTAGGAAGTAGAGGTCTGCTCCATAACTCTGGCATGGAGATTGCCACCACCGCAATATTCGAGCACTACTCGGAAGTCAGAATCAGTTTCAAACGTCTCAAAAACACGCACAATGCCTGGATGAAAACACAAGGAAAGGATTTGCACTTCCCGTCGTAGGAGTTTCTTCGATTCTACAAATTCTTCCTGCTCATCTGGTTCTTGCTTTATGTTTGTTGTACTTTTTCGTCTAGATTCTACTGTTGCAGAAGATCCAGTAGAAGTTGATGAAGTTTGTCCAACAATTCTTAGAAGTCGAAGTTGATCTGGTTTGGCCACAGCGTTTTCGTTCTTTAGATCAAGAGTGTTCATCTCGCCGCGAGAAGTTGTTGACGACTCGACCGTGGAAGCGCGAAGATGGTCACACAATCGCGGTTTTGCTGGTGGACCTCCACCTCTTGCTCCACTTCTAGACGAGACAAGCTTCGTGTCCTTGTCGTTGACTTGCTCTTGCGAACGCGTTCGTACTAAGTATAGCTGCTTAAAAAACCCTCCACCAAGTGGAAGTAGCGTTGTTCCATCATGAGAAGTTGAAGTTCTGGATGTTCTTCGGGAAGCAGTAGTACTGGTGGCGTGCGCGTCCTCCGTGGATCTTCGCTTGGAAGATGCTTTGTTCGAGTATAGAGTGTAAGCATTATCGAACTCGACACAAGGTGGAAGCTCTGGAAGGTCGTCGCTGTTCGCGAGAGAAGACTCTCCTCCACGATCCTCTGGAACCGTGGCTCTCATTTTTCAAATGTTGATCATGGTCATTAAACAAAAGGAAACTACTTACTTGTCCTATATCCACCTAGCGTGCCACTTGCCAAAAATTGTGGTAATCTCACCTCTCAGCAGCATTCATCGTTCTTCTACTGACACGACGAGGCACTTATCATCCTGAAAACCAGTGTATTTCATGTCCACCACCATTTTGAATTTTCTATCACGAGTTTGACAATTTTTCCTTGCGGCCAAAAAACAAGCTCAGACTCCGCCGTCAAAGAGGACAACAGATTGCCACTTACAGTGTTTTTCGAATCATGGGCATGTTGTCACCTTCATCAGGATGAAAATTCGTATCTTCTCGTCTCGCTTGCGGTCGTGTCAGTTTGACTAACATCATCATATCTGAATCAGTTACTTTTACACTGTTCTTATCCCTGAGACGAGTGAGGTATACTAGTCGTCGTGAAAACCGTCCGGCCATTGATGCCACCCATTAGAATCTAATACATAGATAGTTATATAGTTTTGAAGAGCTCCAAACCCAGTTCGAAACCCTGATATTCGTTATAAAAAAGAGAGCAATTATGAAATTTTTCACAAACAAAAGTCACTCAATCGCATTCTTACACTTCGTTCTGATGGATTCACTTTACAGTTAGGTCCCAATGACTTAAAGCGTTCTTGATATGACGAGAGTAGAAGTCTAGTACTTGGTAGAAGCTGTCTACAACTAGAATGGTACTTACTCAACAGTGAATAAGAAGTCAGCACCAGGATACTTTTAGAAGATGGTACTAAAAGTGGGTGTCAGATGATTGAATGAAAAGGACCGATAATTCATCATTGTTCTTCGCAACCTCTAAGTAGAAGTTGAAGTTTCGAGATTTAAGCACAACGAAGAAGAGCAGTGTCCTCTTGACATACATCAAACAAGTAGATCTTGATGAACTTAACAATAGTGCGTGCATCACTAGATGAAGATGAAGCATTCCACGGATCAATATCCCAGATGAACGAGCGCCGCTCCCGCTGCTGATGTCTCAGCTGCCTTTTTGCGTGCACATACGTCGCCTGGACAACGAGTTCCATCGTGGAGTTGGTATTCGAATTGAAAGGCTGCTTCCGCTTGTAGAACGAATCTTCCGATCGGCTTTGTCAAATGAGCACCATTTCTTTGATAATGCTCATTCAAGTGGCTGATATATGTTTTCGTCTTACTATCCGGTCGGTCTTGCAGTGAGAGAGGTATCCGCGCAGCTGGTGGTGGTCCTTGTCCTGTCTTTGGACTCTGACGAGCAACTACATCAAGTCCTCGTCCTCCACTCGATGAAGATGATATTACAATTGCCTGTGTTAGTGTAGCAGGACTTGAATTTCTACAAGAAGTGGATGGAGATTGATGATGATGCCTTTCCGTGGTCTCTGCTAGTACACGACCATTGTTCCCAGCGGCAGGGTCCAACATGGGACCAGGATGTTGCTGTTCTGTTTTTCTCGCAGCTGCGCAGGAAGTCGAACTAAAGAATGACAGGCCACTTGTGGGCACTGTTTCTTCCGCATCGAAAAAGCGTTCTTCATCATCCACATCGCTGGAGGTGCTGAGTTGCTTGTCCAAGTTCTGAGACCTGTACTTGGAATCTGATTCATATGCAGGAGGACCACGACCAGCGAGGCCTACAGAAGTGGGGGTAAAAACACCTCCGGCGGAGCATACTAGACGACGAGCAGGAGGAGTAGCACCTCCTCCTCCGGAGATACAACTAGCAGGAGTTGTAGTGCCAGAAGATCCTCCTCCAGTAGATGCAGAGTTGTTACTCACTGCCGCCTGTAATTGCAGTGACGCTGGTCGCTCGTAAGGCCCACATTTTGTGACCGTTTCCCTACACGCGCGCTCCGTTGGCTTATTACAATCGTCCAGGTAGCCCAATTTGGCTAGCTGCACCGCCGCAACGAACACAAAACGGGTCTTGTCTTGCTGTTGTCCCGACTTTTTCCTCAGAGTCTGTCCAATACCCAGTACGTCCGCTAAAGAAACACTGCCCCAATGCTTGTCGACATCGTCACGAGTGATGAAGACCTCGCCGTCGGGTGTCGGAAGAAGGCAATGCTGTAAAACCTTCCTTCGCTCTAAAGGAAATTCGCTGATGGTTCGCATCGTCGTCACAAACTGGACGTGTTCCGGCAAACTTTGGCCCAAGACCTTCTGGATGTATGCGGATTAGACGAGACATCAATCCTATGAATCTTGTAGTCTATCACGATCTATAATTGATGATGATGTTGTTTTCATCTTAAGTTTAAGTAGCTGTAATCATAGCTCTCCACGACAGTATCGATAAAAAGATAGTCCCTTTTAGGGACCATCACTTGTTTCTACTTTCTGACAGGAGAATCCAATGGGTAAATGGAAAGCAGGTCGTTACCCTTTGTTCTGAGAGGATATTACTATGGGTGAATGGAACAAAGCGGGTTGTATCTTCAACAACATGAGTGTAGCCATAATCATTCACAATTTTGTGACAGTTGTGGATATCGATCCAACTACTTTGCTCCTGAACTCGCCAAGGATGTACTCCAGATTTGAGTGCTCGCTTTAGACTGGAGAATTGCTCTTGCTCATCAAGACTAGAACCTCCAGCTGGAATATTCCCTGAAACAGAAGACATAGATGAACCCAATTGCCCGTGTACGCCAGCCTCTGCATCTCCAGCAACTGCTTCCAGCTGCGCCCGTTGGGCCTCCAACTCATGAGGGCAGTTCTCGAAATAATAAACGAACGCTTGTTGAGGTTGACAGCTCGCAGAGAACGTTGATTCAGCACCTTGTTGTAGAAGCGATTCTTCACCATCAACTCCATGCTGTTTCTCAACGAGGGCCTGAGGCTGAGATGAAGTAGTCAAAGTCGTACTAGCTGAAGATACAGAAATATTCGTTCTCTCCTCGTGATCCACTGGTTCTTCAGACTTAGGAGCTGTGACAGCAATCGCAGCAGCCCTAGCCCTTCCTGCCCCTTGGATGTGGCTCTTCACTGTGGTTACTTTGTCGAATCGTACCACCACGTTGCACTCTGGAACGTCTAAGCCCTCTTCCAGAATCGCCGTTGTGATCACGACATCCAATTTCCCAGTACGAAAATCGGCTATTGTTTCTTCTTGCTCACGCTTAGACTGCAAGCTCTTCCCATACACGCCTCCTACACGCAGACCAGTGCGCGAAGTGAGCAAGCTGCGCAATGGATCCACGGTGGCAATATCCTGCACGAAAACGAGAGCCCGAAAAAACGTCCTTTCCTTTCCAGAAGTTGTTTCGAAGCTCCGCGTCGTGAAGAGTTCAAACAAGGCTTGTACTTTGCGGGAAATATGAGGAAAGCTGAGAAGTGGTGCTGGAACTTGTTCTTGGTTTTCAGTTTCAAGATCACGTCCTCTGATTGGGTTCGGGGAAGAGTCTCCGACTGTATCCTCTCCTCCTCTCCTCCTATGCGCTTCAAGATATTCGTCGACTACCGTCGTCAACTGCTCGCGCAGACTGTCACCTTGGGAATTCAATGCTGCAACCATCTTACCATGTTGCTCAATTTTCCGTTGCAGCACGTCGTCATGGAGGTTCGAATTACTAGTACAACTATGTGTGTCTGTGGTGCTACAAGAACTCGTACTAGAAGATGAGTCTTCTGACGTTGGGGAAGCCGATAATGTTGCTTCTCCGGGTTGACGAGCAGACGCCTTGGCAGCTGCCTGAGCGATTTCCTCACTCATTGATGTAATGGCATTCTCCAGTTTCCTTGCGCATTGCTGGACGAGACAGCTATCCACATAGATCTCTAAACCAGCAGGGCCACGGAGTTTAGATGCAGATGATCATGTGTGATGAACTACAAGAACTACAGTTCCCGTCATGCATCTCTGTTCTGTATACTAAAAGAGTAGTATCTTTTGGAAGAGTACTTCTTACGTGAGACGTAGTTACTCAACTGTATATGATCAACAGGCACGACTGTTGGTTTTGGTAGCCCTATGCCGATCAACATAAATTGTCGAAATATCCTTGCTGTCTGCGCCGCCACCTTGGATCCTTTTTCAACTGGCACCCCGATTTCATCTGCCAATGAGCTGAAAAACGTTCGCACCTTCTCCTCAATGCTCTGCATAGCATCACGTATGACCTCTTGCTCCTCTTCATTTTCCCAGAAGATACGCTCGAAATGCGCGCGCATAGGCCCTCGTGGAGGTCCTTTATGAACTCCTATAATTTTGTCATTGTAGAAGTCTTTCCGTTCTGAGTCAGCATCGACGAAGTTCGACAATGACGGAGGAGTAGGAGTACAACTCCTACTCGACGAATTATGTGAGGACAACTGCTGCTGCTCATCCACTGAAGATGACCCGTTGCTATCTACGGATCGCGACAACCCGTCTTCAACTAGCACTCCTTGGTCAACACCACGATCGTCGCCCTCAACATCACATAAAGCCGAAGGTTCCAGTTTCAGTTTCTTTGGCGTAAACATTTGAGCTTTCATCACGGTTTCTAGTAGTCTCCTAGCGCGCTCCAAATTTTCCCGTGATTTTCCCGTTTTCCCATTCACAAAACTAGCTGTGAGACCTAAAATTCGGATCATCTTCAGGGAGGGGCTCCTTTGCGGTTCTCCAAGAGCAAGAACCTTTTCTTGTCGCCCAACTTCTCCCACAACCTGATCAACATCTTCAACCACGTCGTGAAACATACTTGTCGCGGGAGGAGATGAGGTCACCAGTTCGCAGAGTCTCGCCATTGGTGACACGTTTATGATATGATGGCACTCATCGAATATCACCAGAGACAGGTCGTCATCGACAGACAAACGTCGTAGTTGCTGAATGGCTGTCAGAAAGCGGTCTGGCGTCCCAACCAAAACGTCACTACGTCTAAGCTCCTGATCCTGTAGATGAGCATTCGTTTGCAGAATCGAGACCCGGGGACGTCGTACATGGGATGCTCCGACTTTGACTGCAGCTTCCTCACCGTTCGTTCGATTATCGTCCAATACCTCTAATACGGGCGACGAGAATAACGCTTCGTCCTTTTCTTCCGCGTTTTCCTCGTCTCGCAGAATTTTTGCCGACATATCCACCACCACATCTGCCAAATGTTTTCTGAAGTATTCGCTCTGTTGTTCGAGTAGAGGCACTGTCGGCACCACAAGAAGGACCTTCTTGTGCGGTTGTGTGCGCAAAAAGTGGTCCGTAACGAGAACTGCGATCAACGTTTTCCCACCACCCGTCTTGACGTTTACGACAGTATTCCCCAAGACGGCAGTATCTGCAGCTTCTCGCTGATGCGGATACGGAATCAAGGGACATGTTGGTGGAGACTCCGACATATTGTGATGAATTTTCTATCTACTTACCACAAGCATAACGGAAACTGAAAGAAAGAATAAATTACAGTTGAGATGCACAATGTCATGTCATGTGCCCTCATTCTACTACGTGGTCAAGTAGTTGTGAGGTGATCCAGTCCTCTTGTACCAACTGCCAGTTCTTCTTGTTGTATCTTACATCAAAATAAAATTCCACGTCTAATAGATGGCACAACAAATGTTTCAAACCGACGTTTGTTCAACAGCTCCAATTTCAAGTGACTCTAATGTCGATAAAAGACTCTGGGCGTGAGGGTTAAGTCAAGAGGCAGAGCTTGATGAAGGGCTATATCGAAAAGGGGTAGACAGAGTGGATCCAACGATCTAAAAGACCTCTAAAAAACTGTGTCAATGCTTCGGAGGAGCGCAACGAGGAGGATAATGATGATCATGTTGATGTGTTTGAATTTTTGCACCGATCTTCAATTTTGTCTGTGCTCTCACTTTGAAAATTCTCAATTCAGTCTGTATTTTGGACCTCGCTTATACTTTGCGTTTGGAAAAACGACGTGATGGAGTATGTGTTAGTCATGATCGTTGCACTCTGCTGAGCGTTGTTGATTATAAGCAGTTTCCCAATTTTCATAGATGAGTCCTTGTTACAAAAATCGTCCTCCGCATCGGATGCCGAAGTTGGCGCTTCCCGCTACACATCTCCAAACTTTTTCTCCTCATAATGGCACGGAACGGATGGCGGCGCGCTGACAACTCCGAGTCCAGATCTCAGGGGAGTTGTGGGGTGTGCTTCTTCTGAGAGAAGACGCTACTGGTGTTCTGTGTATCTCGGGAGGTCTCGGGTCTCCAAAGGACGCATGAAAGGTGGGCCGCAGCTTGACGAACCAAAATGGCTACAACATCAACAGTCCTCCTCCTACAATTTTCATTGCGCCATAACTTTCACCGAAATAGAACACGAGCCTCGGTCCTCGTATGGGAAGCTTTCGTCCTTGTGGAAGAACTGTCCTCGACAAGGTTTCCTACCTCAACGGTGTAGAAGTTTTCAATTTCATTCCCAAATCGGCTTCCTCCTCATTTATTGGTGTCTTCCCTCAACCATTATTGCGATGTGTCAATTGCGACGCCAGGAATTGCAGCAATTTATAGTTGGATAATATGGACGATCAAGCCGATGGCTACTTGTTATAATATTGATGTCAGTAGAGGAGTCACTTGTAACTGGTCTCGATGGACTCAAGGCTTGAGAACGAGTGCCCAAGACAGGACGACCAAAGAATCTAGTTCAACACTCCAACCTCACCACCTACCTTAAATGATAAAAGATATCTGAAAATAGGACTTGACTCTAGTAGTTGTGTCCTCTTTGGAGGACGATGCAGTTGATGTAATTCTGCTGCTCCCACGTCTGTGAGTACAAAGATATTTTAGACGATCTGTGCTTCTGCAATTTTATCCTGGTCGTCGTGGCAAACGCAAAGAACCTGACTCCTGCTTCTTGATGGCGAAGCACTAGAAGACTAGGGCTCAATACTTGGGACACACAGGACTATAATGACTAGTTTCCCTGGTGTATTAAGCTGCAATGAGTCCTCAGGTGCATGGACTCTCGTACCGTTTTCACCTTCATCGATCTACGCATGACCACGAGGACCAAAATAAAAACAAAAGGGCTTTTTTCCTCCGTTTTTTAGATTCCTTCACGAGTATTCAAGACATTGTGGGAGAAAAAAATACCTAGACTGATTCTTATTTTTTTTCACTTATGTTTATATTCTTTTTCCTCGCTGAAGATTCTTCGACTACCACAAGTTAGAAAGATGTTAAGAGCATTCACACTAGTTTTAGTTCATTCATGATCAATGCGATAGAAGCTGTCTTGATAAGTAAATACAACATCTTCTTAATTTTTGATAATTCGATGTAATGCTTGAGGCGCTAGTAGATGAAACATGAAATCATAAGAAGGAGTAGGACCAGTACGTCGGTTCTTCCTCCACATATGACTCCTCCTGGTAGTCGCTTGGTCTGTCGTCGTGTGTACTAGTTTCGGTAAAAATAAAATAAGGATAAGCGCAAGCAATGCGGACGCGTTCTGCTCTTTTTAACCATATGATTGATGCCTCGAATCTATTCGGCAGCTTGATGCCTAAGATTTCCCTGATTTCTTAACCATATTCTTATGTTAAACCGTTTACTATTGAAATACACACACTGTAAACCAGCTACCCCCAAGATGACGAGCAGGTTTTTCATTCGCAGGTTAAGAACTACTAGTGTTCCTCCCCTTTTTTCTAGTAATTGTTCAATTCCTTTCGACAACTCAAATAAAACGTACTTTCCTTAATAAATATCCTTAGCAATGTTAATGAGGCCCAACTACATGCATCGAGCAGGTTAGTGCGAGTCGATTTTTTGTTCTTGTTCTTCATCAACATGATCATCATGAAAAATTCTTTTCCCTTTCGTAAACTACAGGGTAAACCTCTTCACGTAGAAATGAAAATGTTGGCCCTCCCTTACCATCTGAAAATAAGCTCAAGCTCTTCCCTTGGTTCGATGAAAATAAAATCAATGACATGCACATGATTATAATATCAAGGATATTATCAACATTTTCACCTCCGGCACCCCCCAAGTACGACATCCTGTGTCATCTTCGTCTTCTACAATGAGAATACTAGATGGCATCTCATTCTCGTACTTCTTCCTCCACCTCTATTTTTTCAAATTAAGTTGGTCGCTCAAGAACTTAGCAGCACTTCTCGGCGTCCTCCTTCGCCTTCTTATCAGCCGCTTCTTTTTCCGCGGCAGCTGCTTCGTCCTTTTTCGCTGCAGGCTCCTCTACTTCCTTCTGCGCCTTCGCAGCTCCTGCCGCGTCGTCCTCGGCTTGGGCGCGTTCGGCTGCGATCGTGTTCAATTTGTTCATCTGCTCGGCAGGCTCATCCACCGTCTGTTCGCCGCAGCATTGTGCGATGAAGCTCTGCTGCACCGGGATGAAGAAATCGCTCCAGTTCTTGATTCCGTAGTACATTTCGGCGTCTCGTTCTCTTAGAAGTTGATGTAGTAAACTAACCACTACAAGAATCCCTATCATTATATACCACAAGAACCCCTATCAAACTTCAAAAAAAATCTGTCATAGATGTAGTAAGCGAACCACAAGAAGCCCTATCATTCATACGTGATGAATCCACTCTCCCTCACTAGGACTTTTTTTCGAAAGAGTAAAAACCGCGTGGAGAGGACTTTCTTCATTCTAACTCGATGTATCTAGTTGTAGCATATTAGTTAATATTACGGGTGGAGCCAAGCTAACGAGGAAAAGAAAAAGGAAGGATAGTGGGTAAAAGATATATGAGTACAGCATATTAGTTATAATATTAATTATAGTCCACATCCATGGGAAGATTAGGGATAGCGATACACTAGTACTAGCCGTAAAAGAGCCATCTTGTTCGAGAACACACTGTGAGCGTCCACGAGCTCGGCCAGAGCCTTGCGGTAATCGAACTCGCGGTGTCCAAGCTTCGCCTCGGTCGCAATCGTTTCCCCATTGGCGTCTCTTGTGTTCTTCGGCTTTTTTGTTAGAGCTTCCAAGGATTGATTTCTTAACGAGCATCCATCATGGTGCCCCTTTTCCCTTTGGAAACCCTCCAAGATGTTCGTTGTTCTGGAAGATGGATTTCTTGAAGCCTTAATTTGTCCAAAGCCTCCCTCTTCGTAGCTGGGGTGTTAGCAAAAAAAGACACGATTTCAAGCAGATCAAGCCTGTACTTCTCAGTGTCCTCTCCGCCCATGCCTGCGTGTGCCTTAAGCGTCTTGCCAGCCTTCTTGCACGTCAAGGCAAACTCCTTCTGCTGCTTGAATTAGACGTCGCTGGCCTATGATGATGATGCACTATGATGATGATGATGATGATGATGATGATGATGATGATGATGATGATGATGATGCACTACGACGATGCTCCTTCACTATGATGATGATGATGATGATGATGATGATGATGATGATGATGATGATGGAACGTATTTTTACCAGGCATAGACTTAATTATGAATCTAAATGACTTTCCAATGTTTGTTTGCCTTAAGAGAAGCTGTCCGCAAGCTTAGACATTTCATCCATGCTCTTCGGAATCTCCTTCTTCTTCGACTTGTCCGACTGATTCTTGTTGAAAGCTTGGATGCCCTTCTTCATCCTAGCCGCCTTTTCGTGCGCCTGCGCAAGTACGTCAATGTACTTAATGCAGGCGGCCTTGCTGTTGCTTTAGAGCATCTCACAAATAAAGATACGCCATTAACCATTTGAGTCTTAGTTTCATGATCATTTTCTCAATTATTTCCTTTTCCACCAAGAAGTTAGTACTAGGATGATACACTGACAAATGAGAAATATTTGGACAACTTTACTTAGCACAAAGAAATGTAGGTTTTTCTATTTGTTGTTTACTCCTCTATATATAATACTCATAGAACAAATGAAGTCGGAGTGATGCTGTGAATCTATTCGGCAATCTGCCTACGATTTCCCTGAGAACAACTATAACTGGAAATACTTTTTCGAAAAAATTTGAGCCGTAATCACTAGCACGATAAGCAGACGGCTTCTGAGTAAGCAGGAATGCGGAGGCACCATTGCCCAAGAGGGCTGCGGAAGTTGCGATCTGCTTCAAGGACATTTTGTTCGTTGTAGAAGGGAAGTTCTTCGTTTGTAGAAGAAGACGCTGAACAACGTTGCTCTAGAAGAGGTGTATGCTGTTGATGAAGAACAAGTTCTTGAAGAACTTCTTGATGAAGTTGATTGTTGAAAGAATTTTCCTGAATGCGAATCTGAATCCTGAATCTTTTAGATATCCTTCAAGCTATCGATCTTTTTCTGTTTTCGTGAGAAGCAACTCGTTAAATGCAACCTTGTTGACTCTTGTTGGGAGGAACGAGGTCCGAAGAAGTTTTATCCCTGTATGTGTCGGTTGGTGTCAAAAATGATGAAAAATGTTGAGATTCATTAGTGTGGTACGTAGTGGTTTCTACTTAGAAACCTATCTATCATGTTGATTACATTCAATTTCAAGAAGAATACTAGTCGACTTCACATCGAAATATTGAGTATGTCTCTCCCTCATCTCAGAAACAGAACGGCTCAGAAACAGAAAGTCTTTTCTCTAGTTCTCTCTTCAGATCTTCCGTTGCTTGACGACTCTCTAGTACATTCCCACAACCTATACCGAGTGTTCTTCGACTCGCCGAGCACAGACTCTACTTCAAGAACTCTACTCTTTCAGATACAGCCCATTCTCACAAACTATACAGAGTGATCTTTAGCTTTCCAGTACACGATCTTCAAGTGTCTGTGCTCTCACTTGGAAAATTCTCAATTCGTCCTGTATTTTGGACCTCAGTTCTACTTTGGGTTCCGAAAAACACCGTGATGGGAGATGTCTTGGTCATGATCGTTGTGCTCCGGTGAGCGTTGTTGATTCATAATGACATTTCTGCACTCTCATAGATGCGTCCGTGCATCTTGCACATCGGACGCCGAAGAGGGCGACAATTCCAGCTGACAACTCCGGGTCCAGATCTCAGGGGAGTTGTGGGATGTGCTTTCTCTGACAGAAGACGGCAATGGTGTTCTGTGTGTATCAGGAGCCCTGGGGTCCGCAAAGGACGTATGACCTGAAGTGGACTGCGGCTTGACCCCACGAAAATGGCTAGTACAACGTCGGGGTCGGTCGTAGAAAAATTTTCACACATATTAGGTCACAACTTACACCGAGTAGAACACGAGCGTCTTTCGCATGAGAAGCTTTCATTTTGATGATAAGTACAACTAACAAGTGCTTCTACTTCCGATTACCATGGTTTGTGAGAGCTCTGCCTCTTCATCATTCCGAAGTAGTATTGTCAATAGGAGAGGTTAAAGACTTACTTGAGTATTACATCACACACGAGCCGCAACTGTCTCCCGACCAGGAGATATGGGAGGAGGCCCGTGCTCCGCGCCAGGGGACTGCTCTATTGGCGGATAGCAGAAAAACCTGGTGACACCCTTTCGCTGGCGATCGGGTCCATCCATCAGAATCAGTTGTATAGGCTCACCGGAGGCGACCACTTCGTCGGGACGTCTGACAGCTTCCCGCGCTTTCTCAACAACCTCAAGGTCATCACGGAAAATATCCACGATCTCCTTTTCGGTTTCGTGGGAAAACGTGTAATCCGCAATATTCCACCGTCCTCTTGCATTTCGCAAATAGGTGCTGAGGCGTCCCAACACAAAGCTGCGATCGCTACGAAATCTGTCAGGAACATCCGCTGGGTTCATAATATACGGTGACCCACACATTACTTGAATGTCAAGAATTTTCACACAGATGGCACAACTTTCACCGAAATAGAACACGAGCCTCGGTCCTCGTATGGGAAGCTTTCGTCCTTGTGGAGGAACTGTCCTCGACAAGGTTTCCTACCTCAACGGTGTAGAAGTTTTCAATTTCATTCCCAAATCGGCTTCCTCCTCATATATTGGTGTCTTCCCTCAACCATTATTGCGATGTGTCAATTGCGACGCCAATTGCAGCAATTTATAGTTGGATAATATGGACGATCAAGCCGATGGCTACTTGTTATAATATTGATGTCAGTAAAAAGAGAAGTCAGTAGTTTTGAGTGGACTCATGGAACTCAAGGCTTGAAAACCACAGGGTGCCCAAGCCATTGACTCAGTGGAATCAAGGCTGGAAAACAAGTGCCCAAGACCTCAGTATTCTGTGGACTCAAGGCTGGAAAACGGGTGCCCAAGACCTGAAAGCTCGTGTTGCCCAAGAACGGAGTTCCACCTTTAATACGACATGTATCAACATTATTTCTATCTTTAGAATTTTTAGTACTTATTCATTGACAATATTATGTCGATATTACTACGTCTAAGAGGATCACCAAAGAATCTATACAGGACCAAAGAATCTAGTTAAACATCACTTCAATCTTACCACCTTCTTGTAAATGATAGAAGGATAGATAGTAGAAGGATAGAAAGGGATAACTAAGACCGACTTGATGACTCTAGGAGCTTTGTCCTCTGACTTATTTGGACGATGTAGTAAATAAGGATGTAATTCTGCTGCTCCCACGTCTGTGAATACAAAGATATTTTAGACGATCTGTGGCGCTTCTGCGATTTTATCTTGGTCGTCGTCGAGAAGAACCTGCTGACTCCTACTTCTTAATGATCCAGAACTAGTTGTAGAAGACGCCCTCTTTCTACGGCTCCTCAATAGTACTTGGTAGAAGATGAGGACTTTCTTGAGTTTGACTAGGACTAGCTTAGGCTTAATATAACCTGTACCTCGTATAATAAGCTGCATCAAGCATGAGTCCTCCTCAGGTGTATGGACCAGTAAATAACTTCTTTCTCGTACGTGGTTTCACCTTCACACGACCACGAGGACGACCAAAATAAAAAGCAAAAGCGTTTTTTTCCTCCTTTTAAATTCCTTCACGAGTATTCAAGACATTGAGGGAGAAAAATACTTACACATACACTGATTCTGATTTTTTTCTTAATTATGTTTTTATTCTTTTTAGCTGATCATGATTTTTCGACTACCACAAGTTAGAAAGATGTTAAGAGCATTCACATTAGTTTTATAGCTTATTCATCATCATCATAGACCTAGGATCATGAGGATAGAGATGAAGCAAGCTGTCTTGATAAGTAAATACAACATCTTAATTTTTGATAATTCGATCTAATGCTTGAAGCCTTAGCAGATGAAACATGAAGTCATAGGAAGGAGTAGGACCAGTACGTCGGTTCTTTCTCGACATATGACTCCTCCTGGTAGTAGCTTGGTCGTCTACTTCCGTCGTGTGTGTGTACTAGGAGTCGTAAGTTCCGGTAAAACTAAAATAAGGATAAGCACTGTAGTAACTGTATGTGTGATTGATGTGATTCTTAAGAACCAACAGCAACTTGAATCTATTTGGCAGTTTCTTGATGCCTAAATTTTCCCTGAGTTCTACTTAACCATATTTCTACTTATGTTAAACCATTTACTATTGACATGCACACACAGAAAACCAACTACCGTTTTTCCTAGAATCGTCTTTTCGATTTTTTGTTCTTTATCAACAACATGCTCTCCCTTTTTTAGAACTAAACAGGGTAAGAAGGTAAGCCTCTTCACGTAGAAATGAAGCTGCAGCTCACCATTCATCACCGTCTGAAAATAAGCTCTTCCCTTGATGAACTTGATTCGATGAAAATAACACTTTAATCCAAAGAGTGTAAAGCATTGACTTTCACGATCTTGCTCTTGAAGTTGTGAAGCTTTCAGCAATCTGGAATTCCTAAAACTACATAGGTACATCTGGATTCGATGAAAATAAAATCAATGACATTATAATCAATCATATTATCAAGGATATTATCAACATCTTTCACCTCGTCCACCTCTTTTTTTTCCAAATCCAGTTCTTGTTCATGCAAGAACTTAGCGGCAGCACCCCTCGGCCTCCTCCTTCGCCTTCTTCTCGGCCGCTGCTTTCTTAGAGCTCTCCCCGAGAATTCATCCCTGTGGAAATCCCTCAACAATAAATATGCGACACTATAATGTATATTTCGCCCTACTTGTATTGCTTCGGGTGCAACAAGTGCATAGCTATGGTTGAGGGATCATGCCTATAGAATTAGAGATGGATCATTGGGGGAAGCCTTAACTTTCTCTTCTTCTGCCTGCGCAGCCGCTTTCTCTGCTGCAGCCTTCTCCTCTTCCTTTTGTGCCTTGCCGGCCGCTGTTGCCGCGTCTTCCTCGGCTTGGCCGCGTTCGACTGCGCCCATGTTCAATTTGTTCATCTGCTCGGCAGGATCATCCTCCGTTGGTTCGGCGCAGCAATTTGCGACGAAGCTCTTATGCATAGCGTCGACGGAATCTTTCCAGCTGATACTGTTATCAGGGAATCGACGTTCCAAGGCGCGTTCTCTTAGAAGTCGTGGATAGATGAAGATATAGTTGGAAACGAACCACAAGAATTATCCCTATCTTCATACATTCAGGATGATGATGATGATGATGATCATTAACAATAACATTACTTGTGATAGTAAAATTGTTCAGACCACGGTACTATGCACTACTTGATAGTCTTGTTGTATAATATACAACCTCCGAAAACTTCTCAATAAAGTTCACCTAGATCTATCTTCCAGCATATTAGTTAATATTCTTTCATGGTCCACATCCATGGGATAGCCTTAAGAGACCCATCTTCACCGAAAACGTGCTGTGAGAGTCCACCAAGTTGGCAATAGCCTTGAAGTAGTCGAACTTCTGGTCTCCAAGTGTCGGCTCGGTTGGTTTGCCACCGCGCGGCGTAACCTTTGGCTCCTTCAAGTCCTTCGTCTCTGTAGCCGACGTGCTAGCGAACCACCCCACCAGATGCTGCAGTTCGTTGCTGTACTTTTCTTAGCAGTTGCAACAACTTGGCCTTCTTACTCTCGTCGCATGTGATCTACTTCTATGCCTTTCCTACTCTACTTGTACCAATGTACTTCTTGAAAGGAAAAATTTCCTAGATATGTTCTTCGGAACCATATAATTTGGACTCTGCTTGCTGATGTGTTATTGTCATTATATCGGGGGCGGCGAACGAGACCCGGGGCGGGGCGGGCTGTGCACTACAGTACCCCGCAACCAAGAACAGCAAAGACAGGGCCAACCCTAACAAACTACCTCAAGGTCTGGAGCACCTCCAAGGCGCGCAAAAGTCGAAGCTCAGCAGTTTAGCTAGAGGACAACCACACCAAGCCGCAGCGAGCCAGCTCTCTCACTCACACCCGGGGAGGGGGCCGTCCTGGTGCACAGTCACAGCGCGCAAGTCTGGGCTGCTGCGGCATGAGAATCCGAATTCTCTGCCGAGGGGCCTTGGTCCCTGATCTAAGCGCGATAATCAGCGATCTAAATGCAAAAAGAAACGAAAGCAGCGACGCAGATGCGGCTACTCCCACCCCCTAGGCACACCTGCGCGCGACAATCTGGAGTGGGTGAAGACGATACACCCAGCCTCGAGGAACTAAAACCACCGCCAGCCCCCGCATACGAGCACTGGGCCAAGCCCGTGGCACAATAATGCCAAGCCACCCACTCACGCGGAGGCGGAGCAACGTCGACAAAGCCAAGGAGGCTGCATGCCTCACTGATGTCTGTGGTGAAACCAACGAACACCGACCAGCAAACGCGGACGCGACGGACCAGACACGAAATAACGAACACAACGAAAGGGGAACGAGGAGGCGCCACCCGCGCTCGTGCTGTGGGGCGAAAACCCGGCGGGCGAGGGTCAGTCAGTGCGGTGGCTAAGTCTAAGAACAAGCGACGGAGGCTGCGCCATCGTTGTCTCTCTCAGCATCAGCACCAAGAAAAGACGAACCTACAAGCGAGGCCTATCCGGTGCGGATTCTCCTCGATGACAGGTTGCGCACGCTGTGCCTGTCCCTGTGCGTATCCGGCAGCCACTGGGGGAATGCACCAAGGACAACGTCGAGCGGGAACGAAGCCCAAAACCAGTGCCGAAAACCTTAGCCTCACAGCTGCTCGCGCTGTCTGAGTTAATAAGTTTAGCCAAACCACACACAGAAGCACCCGCCACCAGGCCGGTGGCACATCTCGAAACCCTGCAAGGGCGCGACCAATCCTAGGCACACACAAACAGGGCAGGCGGGAACGGAAAAGCCAGGCACATCCCACCAGACACGCAGGCACGGCGCCGGGGAGAGCTTCAGCAGCAAGCCATGCGCGCTTGACACAGAGGGAGGGGGAACAGAAGATCGGAGCGCAGCTTCCTCGTGCTTGTAAGAGAGATGGAGTCAGTTCTAGAGCAGTCGGCAGATCATTCTCGCCCCTGTTGCCTCGAGGAGGATGCGATGCCGGCACTGCGAGATCTGACAGACAGAAGAAGAGCACGCATCTCCCTCTTGTTTGACAGAGTACGCACGATAGGGACAGACTCACGGGCACGCACGGAAAAGAGGCCACGTCTGTGACAAGGTCGCGCCCGGCGGATATTTCCGCACTTTGCTGCCACGCAGCTCTCCCGCGCTCGGCGAGGGGTGTGCGCTGGTCATCTTCCGACGTTTTGCGCGGTATTTTGCTCACCCGGAGCTCCCGGTGACCAGCCGGGTAATTGTTGACGTAGTTCCAACTGTATAGTCGAAGGAAATAAAACAAAACTTTCCTGTTCCTCCAGTAGGTAGGTGGTGAAAAGTAGGACTTTTTACATACTTAATATGTTCTAGGTCTACGATATGCTTTCACTCAGACGATGGATAGGTCAAGTTCCAACCCTTAATCCTCAGTGTCCTCTAGGATCCTGTCCGTGCCAATGTGCGACTTCAGCGTTTTGCCAGCCTTCTGGCACGTAAGGGCAAACTCCTTCGCATACTTGAATTAGAAGACGTGTTTTTTCTGAATCTAGCATACAGTCTCGTTTTTCTAAATCTAGCATACAATCTCGTCTTTCTAAATCTAGCATACACTCTCGTCTTTTTAAATCTAGCATACAGTTACAGTCCCTCTCACTCTAAGTGTATTGAGCTATCTTACTAAATCTGAGTTCATGATTCGAATTTATTCGGCAAAAGCATGCCCTCTTCTAGCAACATGCCCTCTCCCCTACATCCACCTCCTTCACAACTAGGATCATTGATTCGGCAACATTTCCATGCCTTCCTCCAGGATGTTTATAATATATATCGTTTTAATATTATGGGCTAAGCGTCAGGGTACTAGAGGGAAAGCTAACCGGCTGCTCGGTGGATCCTTCCTACTCCTAAGTAGCTAGAAAAAGAAAACAAAAAGGGCAACGGGCAACTGAGACTTCTCAATGTTTGTACGCCTTAAGAGAACATATCCTTATCCACAAGCTTGGACATTTCCTTCATGCTCTCCGGAATGTCCTTCTTCTTCTCCTTATTGTTCGGCTCCGCGTTCTTGTTGCGAAGTTCGATGGCCTTGTTGTCATCATTGATCTTCTTGATGCGCCGGCCCGCAGATGGCGCCGCTTTCTCAATTACAGCATAGTACTGAATGCAGGCCACCTTCTCATAATTTTAGAGCAGCACTGTGATGATACAACAGCACTGAGAATGAAATGAGAAATATTTTTAGGTCAACTTTTGGAACAACAAATGTAGGACGAGGTTATATTTCTTAGAAAATCTTCATCTTGTTGTTTACTCCTCTGTTGTATTTAATAAATCTTAGTTTCCCTGAGAACTATGGAGATACTTTTTTGCATGAAAGAAAGATAGAATGTAGTATTTAGAGATGAAAACTAATCGGTTGTTCTTGTTTTCTTTATAATTTGAGAAATATCTATATATTAGAAGGCCATAAGGTTCAGTAGTAGAACTCTGCTGAGTGAGCAGGAATGCGGAAGCACCATTGCCCAACAGGGCTGCGGAAGTTGCGACCTGCTTCAAGGACATTTTGTTCGTTGTAGTGAAGGCACCAAGTTCGTCGTTTGTAGAAGAACAAGAAGACGGTGAATAAGAACGTTGTTGTTCTAGACTGTTGAAAGACTTTTCCTGAATATAATGCGAATCTAAAAAATCCTGACTCTTTTACTACTAGCTAGAAGCCTCTATTAAGCGATCGAATTGTAGTTACAACTACTTGCGGTTTTCGTTATCGAAGATTCTTGTTTGTGGTTTTCTTTTCTGAAATGAAGAGATGACGTGAGAAGCAACTCGTTAAATGCAACCTTGTTGACTCTTGTTGGGAGGAACGAGGTCCGAAGAAGTTTTCTCTGTCTGTATGTTGAGTGGAGGTGTCAAAGATGATGAAAAATTACGTTTGAGATTAAGTCTATCACGTTGATTACATTGTTCAAGAAGACAATTATAGTCGACAAGTTTACATCGAAATTATATTCACGAAGAACTATAGTCGACTTCACGACATCGAAATTATGTTCATCAAAACATATACCACGAGTATGCGTCTCTCCCTCGTCATGATCTCACAAACAGACCGGCTCCGAAACAGAAAGTCTTCTCTCTACTTCTCGTCTCTTTCAGATCTTCACTGGTTGCTTGTCGAGACACTCATTATATCTATCAGGTTTACAATTACAGCAGTACAGATGCTCACTCAACCTACTATACAGAATGGTCTTCTCCGACTCTGTCCCACAACCTATACAGAGTGTCCTTCTTCGTCTCTCTGAGCACAGACTGTACTTCAACTCTACTCTTTCAGATACCACAGCCCATCCTCACTCAAACTCCACAGAGTGATCTTTAGCTCTGCAGTACATGCTCACAACCTAGACAGGAGAGTGTACTTCAACTCTACTGCTTCAGAGACAGCAAACTTCACAGACAAGGTCACATAGTGTTCTTATCAGCTCTCTGCACGAACGTGAGCTGGCCAAACGAAGTAGAAAAGGGTCCGTCGATCAAGGTGAACAGCCAGTAGATCAAGCATATGAAGTCAAAAAGTTGTCCGTCGAGGTCCCTGATCGTTTGTGCTTGAAGAGAATGTTGTGCATCAGGTCGTAGCAAACGCACTCACACTCATCTCTCATAGTACGGGTCAAGAGTATGGCAAAAGGACGAAGAAGCGTAGGATAGGTAAAAGATCTTCTTAAGTGCCACGACTCTTCTAGTTACAATGGTCTGCGAAAACGTACTATGAGTGCATCTGGACGGAGGTGCCCTCACTCTCCTTCTAGGCATAGGCATAGATTTAAGTCTTGAGTAGTCATTGTCATACAACACTCCCCTGCTTCGCGGCCCTTGCTACTCTGCGACAAAGGACCAAGTACCATCGAAAATTGTGTTCTATGCTTCGCGGCTCCTGCTACTGCGACGCGCCAGTCGCAGGTGAGTGTGCTCCCTTTCTCGCCTTCGGGTAATTTGAGGTGTCCCAGCTCACTGACTCAGCAAAAAAGAATCTAGTTAGCTCGAAACATTAAAAATTAAGTTTTAATTTGAATTAACAAAGCATAAAATCAGAAATTTTGAATTTCTGGAGAAAAATAACGGTCGAAGCCCAGAAGTTCACAGTCTCAAAACTTTTCAAAAACACAGTTTGACTGTTTGACTGTTTGATTCAAGAGAACTTAGTTAAAGCAAAAGCCTAGCATTTATGCAGAAGTATAACGCTCAGAGCCTGAAAGGACAAGCTTAAGTTTAAATTTCATTTAATTAAAAGAGCATAAAATCAGAAATTTACCATGTCTGCAGAAAAACAACGATCGAAACCTAACAGATCAATTGTGAAACTCAAGTTTGAATTTGATTTAAAAGAGTATAAAATCAAAAATTTATAGTCTTTTTCCAAAAGATCAACTAATCTGAATTTCGACAAAATCAAACTCAAGACCTTAGAAGAATGAAGAATACATATACATAGACATAAATTTAGAACTTTTTGAAAATATTCATATTCAAATTTCAAACAAATTTCAGAGCCCAAATTCTAAAGATTTCCTAAATCAAGTTCTAATTGAAACTCAAGGTTTGGACTAATTCAAACTCTAAGTCTGAAAGCCCTGAGCCTAATGTTCGTAAGCTTTGTCGACATAGCGTCCTTCGTTCGTTTTTTTCGCTAGCGTCGTACCCGCTCTTTTGTCCATAAGTTGTGATAAGTCTGATATGTCCTGCTCTGTTCATCCTCAAGAAAGGCCCATGGCGTACTAAAGGCAGTCGTCTGCAAACGGGATTTCGTCGATTCTTGCCCTTGCGGTAAGCTGCACTACTACCACGACTAGCAGCTGCACTACCTCTTTCTAAGTACTGCTCGTCCTGAAGGGAGAGATATTAGTCAGAAGCCTAGTAGAGGTTGCTTGTGTCATGTCCTCAATGAATTGCTACTTAGTCTGGTTCTGTTGGACATGAGTCCTGAATGCTCTGTTTTTGCGTCCTCTAGACTCGTTGTTCTGTACTATTGGCACGTGGGTCTTCTGCTCTGGACAAATGATGATCGGATCAAGCTGGTTGATGTTCTTGTTCTCAGCCCTCCTTCTATTTTCGTTTTTCCGGAACACAACTGCCCAAACTCTATAAGTCCACTGCAGTGTTCTTGGCGCACAGGTTACTGCTTCCTCTTATGTGGATGTACCTTCTTATCAACAACTCTCCTACAAGTTTTCAGGACTCTCCTAATGCGCAGTCAGTGTGACAGATGATCTTCATCACGTATCAGTGTGACAGGTGATCTTCATCACGTATCCATAATCTTCAGGGCAAACACAGACGTTCTGCGCAACAACACCACCGCGTTTAGGCGTCTATTTTATGGGCAAGCCGAATGCAATTCAATTCCTCGATCAATTCTTTCATCTGTCATTTATAATTTCACCAAGCATTAATCTTGGCTTGTTATGTCATGAACCTTTTGAACTTGGCATACATTTGTTTGCTTACCTGTCTATGTCTATCCACCTGAAGACAGCTGACTATACAAATTACAAATCTATGCACTGACTTGTATAGTAATAGTTATTACCATCTTATTCTATTGACTCGACTTTAATCCCGAGACAAATGTAGCGTTTAGCTCTTTCAATTTTTATTAATGAAACCAAATTGGGTCGTTCGTAGTCGCGTCTCTCTAAACCACTTTTGTTGTCGTAGTCGTTGATGTGCGGAATGAAAGTGCAACTAATTCTACCTAGTGACCTTTTTCAAGCGAGGCGACGCATTCTAAGTGGCTGTCGAAAGACGGCCGAGACGAGAGCCGCGTCAAGCCTACACATGAGAGGAAAATAATCATTTTTTTGACCATTCTGGTTTTATTTTTATACACGAAAGGAAAATAAGGATCATTTTTTCATTATATTTTGTAATGCGTTGGAGAAGGAAAATAGAAGCCACGCGTCTGATGTCTGCTCCACACCTAATAAATCTACATGCCCTGGCTGCCATGGAGTCTTTTGTGGCATTTGAGGTTTGAAGGTGACGCCATCGCCACCCAGCGAATAAATGTCGTAATGCAACCTCGTCCGCCACAAGAAAAGACACAAATCCCTTAGATGAGAGTGAGTGTCAACGAACGGGATAGTATTTAGATAAAACTGAAGCTGCACCAGCAAGAAGCAAACCAATATCAAGACTATCCTGCACGATTATCTTCAACATCATGTGACTCTTTTTCGGTCACTACTGCTCTTTACCACCTTATCAATGAATCTGGATCTGCGACCTAATCATATTAAAACAATTTTGAACATTTGCTCAAGCATTTTCGTCATCATCATCATCATTTGGCGACCTTCCAACAGTTCATGACTTTATTGTATTCGACATCTTTGTGCTACTTGTCCTCTGCTCTAGTAGATGCGCAACAGGCATATGCGGACTTGTTCCACCACGATTATTTCCATATAAACACTTTTCAGCATTCTTCACATTATTTTTTATCTATAACTATTTCATCCATTATCATTAAAGAACAACCTTCCATCTTTACAACCTCAACATTTAAATACGCTCACTACCATGACTGCTGTATTTGTTACAGTGACCTAGTTCGTAGCCACCTTCTACAAAGCAAAGTCGCTAATATCAATGTATGTCAATCAATCCTATCTATCTACAAAAAAGAGTGACAGCGATCGCGAACGCTTAATGCTCCTAAACCACGAATTTCGAAAAAATCGGGTGGAAGTCCGAGAATACCACGATCTTCTCAGATAAGTCTTAATGATCTTAAACTAGCGCCGTGCTTCTATTCCATTTCCAGAAATTTTGGAACTACTACTATTTAACTAAGTCTTACAACTGGCCTTCCTCAACACTTACGCTTACCTCTTCAGGTAAATTATCTTTATATAGTGCGTCCACTGCCTCGCTCACCTCCGCCTTCAGTACCTCCCTCAGGTATCCAGAGGTCTCTTCTTTTTTGAGATCGAGCACGAACTCCTCCATCTTCTTCGGAGTTTTCCCGCCCAGGTCCTTCTTTTCGGTGATGCTCTTCCGACGTGCACGTCAACTTCTGACTTTCTGCTCGCCGATCGCTTTCAGGATATATTCTTTGGTCTCGGCGTCAGGGATGAAATTGGTTCCCTCATTCAGTTTTTGTTCTATCTCCTTTAGTTCCTCAGCGAGGTCGTCTGTGGGACCTTTCATGACTTCCGTGAACTCCGCGCGCCACATTTCCCCGATTTCTCTTTCCAGATCTGCCACAAGCTTTCTTTTGATATTTCCTGGCGTGTCTAGTCCATCCCGGAGACGGGATTCGAAAGACTCAATCGCATCGTACCTCGTATTCCGCTCTTCTTCTGTATCAACGGGTAGTGCGAGGATGCTATTCATCTCATCTCGCCAAACTTGCGCTTGCAACTCTTCTGGTGACTCACGACGCAAGTCGAGGACCTGTTGTAGAAGTTTGACGTTGATCAATAATAATTAAGCAGATCTCAATATTTAAATAATGTGGATGAAGTTTCTAGTTCGTTGTGCCTGCTACGCTATGAAGACAGTCTAGAAGCGGAACCTTTGAAGCGGAGAGCAGAACAGTGCAAGATGAACATAAACGTCCAATTACGTCTAAGAATGGGGAGCTAGTAAACAAACTGTCTGCAACAGAACCGGCGACCTAGATACTATCACAACTGCACCAGCACCACCGGATCAAAAAGTACCTAAAAAAGACATGATTCATCAATCCCAACCCCATTCATTCTGAAAAAATCACCAACCTACCGAGTTCGAATAATGGATAGATAGTGATGATGCTCACAGACACAGTAGACGCGAATCTTCCTAAATAGGAAAGCAATACCGGCGTCTTCAGAGGATTCAAGTGTGACGGTTGCGGTAGACCGTCTCCTGGAGGGTTCCGACGTCGCCGTCTATTGAGTACTACTGTAGCGACACGCTGTCGCCGGACTCGGATGGCCGGTGCCAACAACTGGCCACCGGAAAGAAGAATCGATGCAATTGTACTCACCTTCATTTTTCCACTTCGATTCTGGTGATTTATAATGTTCGTATAGTACGTTGTACTTGGAGTTACAATTGAAGATAATACTAGAAGTTTTGTTGATATGCGAATGTTTGAAAGATGTTGTGATTGAAAGTGTGCTGATTAAGTATAACTATACTATTCCTTATCTTATTTGAAAGAGTACAAAGAACAATCTTCTGATAGAAAGTCTGTAGAAGATGAACCAGAGACGCTCTCAAAGGAACTCTGGGATGGTTTCTCAAGCCTGTTTCGATATACCTTGTTAGAACGACGCTGTCACCAGGAGAAAGAAGTTAAAAGAACCACGCTGGAATTGATTTGGCAATGTGATATTCCATATTGGACTGTGTGCATAAACAAGGTCAAGAGCTAAACGAAATTGATTCGTCACAGGGCCACTCACTCTACTTTTCTCGCACATGTTGTCCACCTTCATGATCTCAGAAGCACAGAAGAGTTTCCTACTTTACGACTTGAGCAGGTCTCTCGATATAAAGCAGGCACAGAGAAGGTACATCAACAAGCAAAATGTTGGCACGCCCTATGAAAACAGTCCTTATGATCTCAATCGCTCTAACTAATGCCACTCGTCGTGACAGATCATTTGCCCAACAACGGAGACTCAGTACAATACAGATTCAGAAGAGGAATGTTTTTTCAAAAATGATAGTTCTCACACACCACATAGGTCACACTTCGTTCTAGGACACTTGTTCAGCTTGACAGGCTATCGAAGCGCCCGCCCTACTTCTCTATGCCGCTTTTTGAAGCTTCTTCTTTTTGAAGATAATGCCATCATTTTCAGGTGAAGGTTGATAAGTGAACAGCGCGCAGTTGGCTTAGTGGTTTAGGCGTTGGCCTGTTCACTTATCAGAGGTGCTTATGACTATTAGAAAAGCATGTTGACTTCGTAAGCCCTTCAAGGACCACGAAGGAAGTTCTGTCAATACACCGGTCATCAACTTCAACAGTAGAAATGTAGAAGACTGTTGTACAACTTCTACCACCAGCTCAAACAAAGCTCTGGAAGGTAAGAACCAGCCGTGTCGACGGAATATTCAAATTCAATCATCACCTGACACCTCCACATTTATAGTCGTTCGTACATGCATCGTCGGAACATCCTCCAGCACGAGGCCTATTCATCGTCGTCCTGTTCGGGAATCGGCGGAGCTCGAAGACCCTGAAGATGTTTTGTTGAGTATTTTAGCGGACACTACGGATTAACTATTGAAGGATTGGCTCTCCTCCTGGTCAAAATTGAAGATGCTTCTTTCTCATTGCTTCATCCCTAGTGATAATAGTAAGTAAGTAGTTGTGGTTGTACTGGTACAACTACAAGTAAGTACCTTGGTAATGAGTAATGCAAGTTGCGACTATCATTTCGATACATGTTACAAAAACCAGCTGCATGCTTACCAAATGACCAGTAAAAACCCAATTATACCTTTTCGTCAAGAATTTCTAGAAATTCTTCGTAGGTTCCGGCACGCCGCTCCGTGGGATGCAGCTCGTCCATGATGTCGTGGAGAGTTGTTTTCTCGTCCAGCACTAAGAAGGGACCCATTACGTGGTGCGCGTAAAGACGATCCACCTCTTGAAGGGTCGGGTCCTCCTCAAGCTCCACCAGCGGTATATTCCTCAAGCGATAGCCTCGCTCCAACGCTATGTGAGCCAAGCGAAAGGCTTTCTCTGGTGCCTCGTCTTGCAACTTCTGCCATCCTGTGAAATAGCCGAGAAAGCTCCACGTGTGTTCTTGCTTCAAGGGGGTGAATGTGATGACGTCGCCATTCTTATCCAACCGCTCGTGCTGGTGAAGAGAACAGTCTGCGCTTAATAGGCGATAAACAAAGCGAACGTCACCGCGCAAACGCTCAGAGGCATGCGAGTAAGCAACTTTAGAAGACGAAGAGGACCTAGACCTAGTGTTGCATCAATAAAAAGACTTATCATTTCAAACCTTACGGATGCAACCCAATGAACCAACAGCGCACAGAAACCTATCTTCAGATAGGAGGATGAAATCGGAATACAGTCGCAACTTGCGCTTGCTTCTATTGCAGTTTGCTATATCTTTCTTTTTGCGTATGCTGTTGAAAGAATAGAATGGAAAACTAGCAGCTACGTAGTCTTAACGGTGTTCTTACTTTTGTGGCCTGAAAAATCTAGTAAATCTTAATCATTCTTTTGTGGTTAAAAATAATGTTCTATTGCGGCCTTAACAGTTACACAATTCTTTGTCGCGGACACCACGGTTTCAGCATCGTCGCGGAAGTCTCCCGCCCACTTCAGCAGGCTTCCATCGCAGCGAACCGCGGCTAAAATCAACTCTTCCAGCAGTTCTGCTAAAACTAGCGCTTTTGACGTCTTCTGATCGGAACTCGAAGTTGTACTAGGACATGGTGCTGTAGAGCCAACTACTTGCATTAGACTTGGAGCTATAACTAAAGTGCAGCACCATTGGAGACAGCTCGGTCCTTGACAAGAGCATGGTCGTCGTTGGGTGAGCACTGATTTTTTCGGATCTTCCAAATTTTTTGTCTCGTGTTTTTTTTTTGTATGCCTTAACTCAAGTAGCAGAAAGAAAAAACAAGTGAGAAAGCCAAGGAAAACGAGGAAGCATGCTGGAAGGACGGAGGGAGTAAAAAAACTACCACGAAATTCATGATCATCATGCATCAGGAATTGATCTTCAACTTCACACACTTTTTAATAGCGTGGTAAGTGTGAGATAAGTGCCAGAGAAAGCAGAGACATACACGAGAAGACAAGCAAGATTGAATGTGTGAGATAAGAAATGATAGATCTATAGATAGTATGTAAGAGTAAAACTATAAGAAGTAGCCTTAATCTTTCATCTGGTGCATGCGTCCCACTCACACCACCAGAAGAACTACAAGACGAAAAACCTACATAGTCGACGTTGCCATGGCTGAAAATCTCGATCCACGCCCTTGATTCACCATTGCGAAGCATGTTCTTCACGACCATATCTGGTCTTGCACAAGAACGGACAATTTCCCGAAACTTCTGCGGCTGAAATTCTGCCAGCAGGCGCAGATCGCGCGTACAAGCACCCCGAATATGCTCTACTATGACGCTTCCTGATGCTTCCACTGCACGCAGAAGGAAATCAATATCGGCATCCGTTTTTAGATCGACCTACTTGCCCAAAAAAAACATCATGAGTCGCTACATCTTGGATGTGAAGGTGTAGATGACAGTCATCTTCTGTAAGTTGAGTCTTTTGCAGCGTCTTTTTGTTTGTTCTACAATCTTGTTCAATTGATTCAAACCCAGCCAAAAACGAAATCAAAAATAAAGATGCCTGCTCCTAATCCAAAAATGTACTGATAAATATAAGAAAATTGGAGTAACTACGATAGAGGCCATAAAATGTCCACTTCGGGCTTTCCTTGTCGTTCTCTTTCTGCAAATGTAAGACGTCGTACATCATTGTAAGCCTCCGGACTTGCCAAGATTCCACCATCAGGTTTAGAGGTAGCGCTTTGCCATCCCTACTCTCAACTGAACTACTTTTACTGAGCAGGAGCCTGTAACTCATAGACTCGCATTAGCGTGCGCATTCTGTGTCAGCCTCCTTTGTCAACTCTCCCTTTTTATGACCCATAATAGAGGGTAGTAGTTTTTAACTAAGATCTTCTAAATGTTCGGCACATGTCCTCGGGCGAGTTCAACTAAAGATGAGTAACAGTAAACAAATTTGCAGAAGAATTTCAAGTACTTAGTGCTGACGTACGGTAGATGAAAAACAAACAAGAGAGAAGATCGAACAATAGGAACCGAGGATAGTAGTAGCTGTAGTGCACCCAGTCTAGTAGAGGTATTTAGAAAAGAGACTAGAAAAAAGAGAGAGTACAACCGAGTCTAGAAAAATTTTCAAATTTTTATCAGAGTACTGCAGCAGCTATCTTCTTGGTTCATCTTGCCTTAACATCAGCTTGTAGTCTTAAATGCAAAGCAAGCATTGCGTTTGCGAATTCATTATTAGCGTAGCTATTCAGATACTCCCCAGGAGCTCCCGCAAGTTCGCCGAGCCGGGCGTTAGCCAAAGCGGTCAAAATTGAAGGCGTACGAAATTCATGTCAGGGATCATCTGGGTCCCTCTTTCCTCTTGTCCTGTTGTTCCAGATGACTTTGGAGATGAATTCCTCCCCCACATTCACCCATAGCAAGACGAGGTCACGAGGAGGCTCGATCATAGCGAAGAGAAGCGTCCCATCCCGTGATACCGCAAGCTTGGTAAGGTCTTGGTCTCGCCTGAGGTCCTCGGAGACGCGACGCCAAACTTTCGGGTCCTGCCTCACGGCCAATTCCACAATCTCGCGATCTGTCTGAAATTCGGGAGAGCATTGCAGAAGGGCCCAGCCATTAACTTGCACTACTTGCCTTAAAGCTCCTCGGAAGTCAGTGGCCACACACTGACTCCGAAAGAAAAGGGCCCCGCGCCTCTCCTCTTGTTTTCCCCTCATGTTCTCTCACGGGGCTCTCCTCTTCGATCTCAGTGACCACTATGTCTCAGTGACTAACGCGACTCATGACGTCTGAGCCTTAATTGTCTTACGAAGTCACGATCGTCATGTAATTGGCCGCTCGCATACTTAAACGCCTCTCCGTCTTGAGAGCATGCTGCCAAAACCACATCCTTATCATTCCGTAAATCCTCAGACGCAAATACGAGCACATGTGATGAAAGGAAAAAGTGCGCCCACACTCAAGAAAGTAGCTATACTTTCCTACTTGAATCTTAGCCAAGTTCTTGAGTGTGAGTGCACTTTTTCCTTTTTCCTGTCATACGTGCCCTTCAGATCTCACAGCGGCAAGGACGATCTCCTTATCGCGCAGATGTCTGTCTAATAAGAATTCTTGGCAGAATCGCAGGATGCAACCATTGGCTGACATCAACGACAACAGAGTTTTACGGTTTGAATCCCCCTGAAGATTACCTGGCACACGAGGCGTTGATAAGGATTGCAGGGCTAGTCTCAGGAAGGCGACCACGCCACGTTAGAGGGTTCCGCATAATTGCATTTCTTAGTGGGAAAAAAGTCAGGTGGAAAAAAGTCAGGTAGTGCAGGACGCAATTATGAGGAAACCCTTAACCACGGTCTCTGTTGTACGCATCCGGCGGCTTCACATACTTCTCTATCAAGAAACGCCTCACTGCAACTACGATATCAGGAAACTCATCAAAAAACCGTTTCGCATCGCGTTCACAGTAGAAATGGATTATCCATTCACACGAGGCAGTATCTGCCTCTGCCAGTCCTACCGCTTCAACAAACTCTCGACTCCACAACATATCGTCTGGCAGTTCCACTGAGTTGTCAAAAAGATGATAAGTAATTAAAGCCGGTGAGCAGTGATTGGTCACTGATTCTAAAGGTGGGACAAGACCCCCAACGCCGCTCCTACATTTTCCTCTGTTTTCCCCGGTTCGCTCAGCGGGTCTCCTCTTGTCAGTGACCACTCTACTCAGTGCCTATTTTTGAATAGTAATTACAAGTTGCTCCCAAGAACCAGAAGATGTGAGAGTATAATAAGTATTATTCTGAAGTCTGAGCCTTAAATTAAGCTGAGCAGCTGCCTTCACGATCTCCACATCTTGAAGAAGGTACGGAGGAAACCTCTCCTCGTCCTGTAGCAGAGTGACAAGCCACCGACTGACACGTGTATTCTACCATTAGAAGAGGAACAAGTAATAGATCAACAAGAAGTTGTAGAACTCCTACTAGTGATCCTACTTTCTCTAGTACTCGGAGTACGAGACTGAATAAACATAGTTCAACTACATCAAGAATTATCAACATGATAGACCACTTCTTCTAGAGCCTAGTATTACTAGCCAGCCTTAAGGATTGACGTAGGCATTGGTGACCATCTTTTTCGAGCTCAAAACGTTTCATTTCTTGCGTTCATTTCTTCAGGTTCCCAAAGAGGAAACCAGGGAAAAAAAACATGTGGAAATAATGAAATATTTTGAGCCTTAATCTTTCGTCGAGCTCCACTCTTAGGATCGTCCTTTGAGGCCACTTTATTTTCTGCCTTCATCAGGCCCAAGTAAAGAAATTCTTCCAGACCTCGCAGCGCTTTCAGCCACGTAGCTCGCTCGGTGGAGTCAATAGCTACGTGAATTTGATGAGTCTCCTGCTTCTCGGAAGATGGTGCGGGCGCCGAGGCAATTGTATCAAGTTTCAGAAACTCGCGGTCAGTTACGTTATCCCCGGCAAAGAAAACCAGCGTATGCGCCAGTGCAACATCGAAGAACTTTGAGGCCATCTCGCGCACATCCTGGACCGCCACATTTCATTAGACTCAGGTTTGAATCCATCTTGGTCCCCTCATCTCGACCCCTTTCCCCTTGTATTTCATGAGAATACAAGCCAAAAGGGGATCAAGATGCCGCGAAAGATGGATATAAAAGCTCACCATAATTTAAGTCACCCTGGTGCCCAGCTGATGTTGTCCCAGCTCTCCTAGCCAGTCCAACATCCTCGTGAGCCTCAGCACCATCTTCCTTTAGAGTGACGGGAACTGCTATCTCTCCTATTCTGTCACCACCAAGACTGTACACCGTCACTATGGAGGGATCGTGCGAAGCGAAGTCATCTTGTGGCGGTTGATGATGTGGTGAGGAGGCACTCGCCGGTGCGTCACCATCCTCAGAAGGATTGTGCTCAGGGTCAGCTGAATTCTTCATGTTTTTCCTCTACTAGAAGCAGTTGCTCTTCCAATTCGTGTCTAAATGAAGCTCTCTTTGAATCATAAGACTAGAACTACAACCTACTTAGAACAAACTTCTTACGACCTAGTAGAACAACCTACTTTGAAAAATCAAATTCCTTTCAAGAAAGCGGCGGATCGTCAAAAAAATATTAGCGATAGTCAGGCAACCGACTCACAAGGCGGAAGAATCCCCGTAGAGCGAAGAACAACGTACTGTAGATGAATGACAATCATTATTCATATAGATACGTAATAATTCGGAAAACTTACGAGTTCAAGTCGGCGTAGAACTAGAAACGCTCTAGAAGAAGTACGATAAGGGCGATATGTTCACTTATTATAGACCACATCAATCATCATGTAGTTCTTCCGAAATTCAACAAGTTCTTGCACCACTTCTCTCTGATCCTTAGAAATCACAATAAGTATGTAATTGCGAGTGATATTCATTTTTGATCGTGTCCGTGTGCAAGTGGCAACAGATAAAGAGTCTCATCAAGGAGTCTCCTATCGAACAAGATGTAGTTGCAACAAAAAATAAAGGACTACGATTGCCGCTGTGTCGATTTCAGGCATAAGCCATATTACGGCTTCTTTGTTCGGAGATGTATCGTCCGAAAGGGAGCATCGGACGCCTATCCGTCATCTTCGTCCGGGATCGGTGGAGCTCGCAGACCCTGATGTACTTTTATTTGTTGCTTCGCAAATTTTCTCAGCAAGTTTTTTTGTGCAAAGCTTACCTAAAAACGGAGCATAATTGTGATGCCTATAAGCTTAGTACCCTTATTTCTTCGTACTTAGTGTCCACTTCAGCAAGCTTAGTTCTTCGTAGCTTGCTGAAGTGGACACTCTGCACGCAACAACCGGCACACCATTCGTACAGCATTCCGCAAACGCTTGGATTTGGATTTGGAGATTTCTGAAAAAGTTTCTTTTTTTTGTATCCTGGAGCTACAACTGAAAGAGCGGCCTCAGCTTTATCCAGTTCGCAAACCGTCTGGCCACCACAAGGAGCACGATACGATTCGCAAGCATCAGACAAGTGGAAGACAGCATGAAGGACTAACCACAAGGAAATAAGAAGAGAAGCTATAGCAAGAACTACCAAAGGCACCTAGAGACGAGCTCAACCCTACAGGTCCTACAGGTGCTGTAGTACAGGAGTGGCATTGCTTTACCTAACCACTTCGAAGCAAAGGAATACACATCCGCCATGCTTTTCGTCGCAGCGAACACAATATCAGCGTCGTCGCGGAGCCTTCCGCCCGCGTACTCCAGTAACCTGCCGTCGCAACGCGAGGCAGCTAAAATTAACTCCTCCAGTGATTTAGTTTTTTCAGAACTAGCATCAACGCTGCCCAGCGCCAGCGAGGACGGCGAGTAAAATCGACATCCTAGTACGGAGTTGCCGTGCCCATGAGTGAAACTGAAACTTCGGATCCACGCTTTTGATTCATCTCCGGACGATATTCTGCAAGAAGACGCGAGTCACGCATGCTGAAGTTAGAACTTGCAGAAATCCACTCTGGTGAGCATCTCCGTACCCGTTTATTCAGTTTAGGAACGGGACCAAAATTAGGATGGGGAAGATGTATTTTCTCAGGTCTAGTCCTACATCAGTTTTATCAGCTGCAAAGACATCTTTGACGATTGGCAGCAGACTTTTCAGCAGACTATTTGGCACAAACTTCGGCATTTTGCGCTTCAAAGACGGCTTGAGTTTGGTGTGCGAAGGCAGAGAAATCGGTGGTAGGTCTTCACAAAGTGAAGGTTCTGCTTGATGACCTTGTATTTGAGATTGTTTGTTTTGCAAAGCCCCAATCAACTCCCAGTCTGCGTTCAGAGCTGCGTTTTTTGGTTGACGTTCCAGACTTCGGATGCCTGGTCTCGAAACTGATTTGGTAGATCAGGTTGGAGACATATGACATGACATGCTTTATTGCGCGCAAAAAAAACCCTAAAAGAGATCGCCCTAACACATCCTGAGATACATCCTGGCCCTTTTTTGCCCTTTGAAGACAGGCTCACTGTTAGAGAGCGTCTGCTACTAGTTGTACTGGTTAACTTTATAGCGGAGGCCACCATCAAGGTGGATCAAGTCTGCGGAGAAGATGGATTAGCGGAACAAGTCCTAAAGGCTCTCCTTGCCTTTGCCGATCAAGGCGGATGACGTCTCGCATATCGCCAAAAAGACAGGGCCTCCCTTTTAGACGAGCGAGCATCTTCGCGAACTCCTCGCCGTAACAATTTGGTAAAACCCGAAGACCAAACGGGTCAACAGACGCGACAATGGTGGCTTCGCGGTTTCGCCTAAGCTCTTGTGGGATGGAATAATGGAACCTAAGTTCGGGATCCCCTTTCACAGCCAACTCAACAAGCTCGACATCTGCTTGACTGAATGATGCCAATGATTGAAACCACTGTCGATTTGCTGGGTGGAATGTCGTTCCCTTCTTTGCAGCCTTCTACCTACTTAGGAACGACATTTTTCCAATATCTTCTTTGCTCTCAAGAAGTGGCATCATAGATTGAAACTTCCTAGAGTAGCACCACATGGCACTGCCTGATACTATGTAAGAAAGGCCACTTAACGCCCCGACAGATTCTTTGTTTCTCTCTCAAGACGCCACACACATGCGTTAGTTCTGCATTATTCATGAAGACGGCATCACACCATTGCGTACGCAACGGGTCCACAGCCCTCACTTGCCGCAAAGCAGTGCGCCGCAATAAAACGGGATAGATAAAATATTTAGACTCAAAGGAAGTCAAAAGTAGATCAGGAACGACAGCAACGTCAATATCGATATCCTCACCAGCGTCATTGGTCGTATTGGTATTGGTTGGTGGTTACTACAGCTTTTGTTGATGATGTAGTTATACAATAAATTACAAAGCAACTTCATCAATCACCTAATAGATCTATTATCTGTTGGCGTTGTCGTTGATGTTGCCAGACGGGTCTGGCTAGTAGATCTGGTATCGGGGGAATAATCATCGACGAGAGGGTTTAGTGATAGTCGTGCTCCTCGTGCGATATTCATCAATTTCGTTTTATCATCATTCCGATTCAGTTTCAGAATCGAGCAAGTTTACATCCTAATCTTAGGTGAGTCTGGATGAAAATTAATATTTTCTTTTCACTATAGGTTTTCCACCTAGGGTGAGAGCCACAGCCACTAGATGCTCACTCTGTGTATAAAATCTCCCGTTCCCCCGGCGCCCAATTCCAATTCCTCGGAGTCATCTACTTCCCCCGCTTCCGTCGTCGCACCTCCCGCTCCCGAAGAGCCCAAGCTGCTTCTCTTCACTTCTTTCGAGAGCCAGTCGACAATTGTCGTGCGCGCTTCCCCGGGCCGGGGCCCTCCGACTTGGACGGGTTCCGCATCGTCCCGCTGCAAGTAGTCAAACTCCGGTGCCTTGCATAGGGCCACTGTCCTGTGGTTTAGCCGCTCAAACAACCTGGCCCACCCTGAGGACTCGCGCTTTTCCACCTCTACCTGGTGCTTCACGTAGGGATAAACCTGAGTACATAGCTTCTTCTGCACCTTCTTCAGGGTGGGAATCGTGATTTGCTTCCACATCGCGACCCACTGGGGAAAGCTCCACCTACCGTTTTCACTGGACGCGACTCTGAGTTCAGGGGGAACGCTCCTATCCATTGCACTCGCCGCTCCAGTTGGAACCGGTGAATGAACGTCCACAGGCGGATCTGGATTGAAAGACCACTCCGGGACGGGTGACGATGTACTACCACTCCAAGATGTTGGATTGAAAGACCACTCCGGGACGGGTGACGATGTACTACTACTACTAGAAACAACAGGCGTCCTCTCTTGTTCACCCATGAATGCTGAAGAAAACAATACCCCGCCACGCTGCGCACTTTGTCGGAAACTTTTTCGGTGGTTGAAGACGGCCGGGACGCGCTCCATATGCGCCACGCAACGGCAGGTTCCCGGGTCTTCCTGTTGCTTAGCCATGTCGGTAATCTCGTCCATCGTATCCGCGAACTCTGCCTGCACACGGCGCATCGGCTCCGAGCTGAACTCATAGAAAACAGATGTTTTTGAGAATCCATCGGCCAGGCAATCCTCGCGCTCGAAGATTCCGGAAAGTGCCGCGTGGCGCACCGCAGTGGGTGAAAAATTTTTGGGCTTTCCCGGCAGGTCCTCCAGATGGCTACTTGCCTCGCTGGACTTAAGCAACCCCCGTAATTCCCGAGCGAACGGCAACACAATCACTTTGCTGCTTCCGGGGTCAACCGGAGTAGTGGATTCTTGAAAGGCGTCGGGAGACGCCTGCACCGGAGTCGTAGTAGGGCATTGATGAATCTCGAGCGGCGCGGCCAACGCGGGAGTGGTGAAGTGCTGAGATGGGGGGATGCCCACCTCCTTCACGACCGGCAGCGGTGGAACATGAACGTCAGCGGAAGTGCTACTAGATTGAAAGTAGCTCATCCACTCCGAGAAGACGACTTCGAAGGGCCACACGGTTCCGCTACCTGTGCCGCCCATCACCATTTCTACGAACAACGTCCGCGCGAGCAAATCTGGGACCTCCAAAAACCCGCGCTGCGCGGCCCCGATCACGGGGTGCAGAAACGCGAAGGGCACCACCACTTCCGGACTGAAATCGGTCATGCCAAACAAGTCCACCATCCCGGCGAATCCTTTGGCCGTCTGCACGGGAATCCAAGAGTCCGCGGTGATTTGGAAGGGATCGGGAGCCACCCCCCGTGTGATCCCAGTACGGAACGCGTCCTCATACTGCCACGTTTGGTACCCCGCGAACGTGCGCAGCACCATCAGATGATGCAGTGGCAGTATCTATCAAAACGAAAAACATCATCATCCACAGAGTTTAATACTTTTTTTTTTTGCCCACAAAGATTGCACAGGCGACGCCGGCAAGGGTCGAGGAATCCTCAGGCCAGACACTAAGATAACTAATGATATTATAGACACTTTAACTATTAGATAACTTAAGAAGGCGCTTCTATATTTTGCGTCTATTTCTATATATCTGATAGCTAATTAAATGCAATTCGCGAGGCAGCTCAGAAAGCGAGCCGTCTGCAAAGGGCGCCCGATCGGGTCGCTGTGGATCCACCTGGATCCACATCGGCACGATCTGGAGCTCGTCAACCACAGATCGCTTTCTGAGCTAAATTATCTACTTAGATCTTTCAATAGCGACTATCCAGCGCCTTCTCTAAACTAGTTGATTTGTCGGCGGCTCCTGCACTGCCCTCTGCTGCACTTCTCGATGTTCGCCGTTGGCGTTGACTTCGATCTCCACAAGAAACTCCTGAAAGCCCCGACAATGTCGGGGCAAGAAAAAATTATTAAACTTTGATGATGATGATGCTTTTCGCTTGGATAGTATCGCGTTGCCCCCCCCGACTTTGCTCAGCACCCTCTTGTTGTGCTTGATCAGTTGTTGTTCTACTTGTTCTGCGGACGTCGCGCTGGGGGTGCGGGTTCCCGAGGTGGTGGACGACCTGTCGGCAGAAGAAAAGAGGCGCGCAATGTAGTCCAACGCGGTCAAACCAGCCCGCCCCTCTGTACTGATATCAGGCAGGCTTTTCAACACGCTGGTGTGGTCAAACGCCGGAGGATCCTGGGAACCAGAAAGTCCACTAGAGCTGCGATCGAAAATCTCCATCTCCATCAGGTAGTGATTTCCATGGTGCCCGTGCTCACGCCATACTCTCCTCCCTTCCTTCCAAACCGCTTCTGCGCGCAGGAACATGCTCGTGTGGCACCACGTCAGTTTTTGCGCCGCGTCACTGTCCGGGACGTTGAACAGCAGCAGCGGCGGCAAGTTCGGCAGCACGTCTGGGTTGAACACGACGACTTCTGTGCGCTTTCCCTCGCGGCTCAAGAGCAGCGGGTCGCTCAGGTCGAGGTGCTTGTCGCCGTTCTCAGTGGATTCAACCACTTCCATGTGCAATTGAAAGCTCCTCCCGCAGCCCAACACCCCGTCGCGACACTCCTGGGCCCGAATGCAGCTGAGTTTTGTGTCCTCATGCGTTGTGTCCTTGGCGAGCTTGTAGTGCTGGTGGATGATGCTCCGCATCCGGTTCTCCGCATCCGCCGGCAACAGCGACACCAGCAGCGCCGTGGGCGTGGGGGGGAACAAATAGTTTGCGACGCAGTGGCCCGCCTCGGGGTCCGCGCGCGCCTTCGCAATCAGCAAGTCCGCGAAAATGCACATTCCCTCGAGCTTAGCGATTTGTTCGCAGTAGGAGCGGGTCGCGGGGTCGAGGTTGTCCCAGATCCTTCGTGACTCAACCGTGGTCTTGGTATGAATAAGCGTCTGCAACGTGCGCAGTCGTTCCCGCTGCCGCAGTTCCCAGGGTCGCAGAAAAGCGTCAGCGCTTGCCATTGCCTCGTTCTCGGTGCGGCCGAGCAACCAGGCCTCCCCTGCGGGTACCTGATCGGCAAGAACGCTGGCGAAATGCGCCCGGTTCACGGTTGCGAGCATGCGCTTCGCAAACCGCCTCTTGAGACGCGACGCGTAGCGGGCCATCTGGGACCACTCCTCCACGTTGTGTCTGTCAAATTGCCCGCGCTTGGAGAGAAGGTGACTGGGCATACGCGCCCTCAGAAACTGTCTCAGGCCCTCCCTGATCCCGGTCCACTCGTCCCTCTGAAGCGGATGGCACACACCGCGAGACAAGACCAAATTCCACACCTGGAGGTATCAATATGTTCATGTTGTACTTGTAACAGGAGGAAAACGCAATTTAATTAAGTAATTAAGACGAGCTTCGATTATGATACTTTTCTCTTTGGTCGTTGATGGTTGATGTACTGCTAAGAGTCTTGCAATTCAAGGCACCCGGGTGTGATGATCATCACGATTCATGACCACATACACTCTGTTGGTACCTTTTCGGCTTCCGAGTAGTACGTCCCCGTCTCGAATGCCGAGAAGTAGTGAAAAGGCTTCCTCTGTTCCACCAATCTTGCTGCGGCCTCTCCCTCGACCTCTGGCAGCGGCGCGCGCGTGTAAAAAATGGCGTACTCGAGGTAGATTTGGCGCGCGTCCTCGAGGACGTACTCGTCGAACGTGATGTACGTCTGCTCTTCCGCGAAGCTTTTTTCCAGTTTGCTCCCCAACGCTCCGTCGCCCTCTGGGTGCCCCACGAACGAGGGCGAGTAGTAGCTCACGCTGTCCTTGCGCCGCCCGGTGAGCACGTCGTGAAAGGCTGAGTCCCTCTTCAGCACGCCCGGAAAAAATTCCGTCTGCAGCAGTTCTTCGGCGTAGGCGTACCGGTTCACAACCCGCGTGTCGCCCATCGTCATCCGCGCGACGAACACCAGGCAGAACTGCTGGTTTCGGTACTCGTTTTTCGCGTCCTGGGACCAGAACGCTTCCATCCTCACGAGCTTGCGCAGGTGGCGGAACAGAGCTTTCGGCATCTGACCGGGGGTGGTGCAGTACTGGTCGGATTTGGCGATGTCGGCAGCGCCAAATATCTTGCCCTCGCCAAACAGGCCCTCGCTGTTGCTGATCTTCAACCCCATTTTAGCGATGGGCTCCACGATCTTGGGAGAACTGGTCGCGTGCAGGGCAAAAATCTCGTTCGCCATTTCCCACTGCACAGGCGCTTTGGCCAAGGGAATCGTTCCCTGCCGCTTGCCCAAGTGCTCCTGAATCACACGCATCGCAAAGGGCCGCTCGGTCCAAATCGAAATCGGGGACGTCGCTGTCGTGTCACCGGCATCTTCTTGATCCGAAAGATGAGAAGATGATGCAGCGCCAAGTCCAACTGCGCCACTCCTTCCCATCTTCGCCAGCTTTTTCGCTAACTGCTCTCTTCGACGCTCGTAGCGCTGTAGTGACTTGGCGTTATGCAAGCGGAAGGCCGCAAACTTCTTCGGGTCGCTCAGATCGATTCCCTCAACCGCCTCGTCTCGATCGCGTCCGCTCGACCAGGACGTGCCCCTTGCGTTGAACCGTGTTCGCATCAGCGCCTTCAACATCTTTTCCTCGTCTGAATTGGATGGAACCGTAGCGAAGTAGGAGGCGCTGTCCGACGCCTGCAAACAGCGTTTTCCGTCTGCGGAGTACTCGACTCTCTCCGGGGGTGGAAAAGCCTCGCGGGGAAGAGCTTTTGCGAACTGTTGTCGAATCTGGCTCCGCAAGCTTTCTCCTCGATATCCAGGTATTACACTCCGTGGTGGGCAGCTTCCAGCAGAAGAACCGCCGGCGGTGTCGTCAAGCGTCGAAAGACCTCCCCCGCCAGCAGTACCTACCAGCGCGTTGTCGAACGGGGTGTAGTTCATGAGTTTTGCGCGCCTTTCCTGCCTCGCCAAGACCCTGTCGATTGCGAACGTGGCCCTCCTGCCATACTGGCGAAGCCAGTTCTCAGTCGATGGTAGCTGAGGACAGTCGCCGAGGGCGGTCTGGTCGGCCCCGAGGACGTCATCGTCCTCCTCCTCCTCTTGCTCGTCCGGCCCGAAGCCACTCGGATAGAACGAGTCCTCGTTCTCGTCGTCGGTGTCGCCCTCAGAGGGGTTATACTTCGCCCCAACGCCGGGAGGAGGTCGCACATCCTGCTGGACGAGGACCGCGGAAGTTGTGCTGCTGCTGGCGAAAGTCAGAAATAAACTTAAAACCGGTGTTATGAAGTGGACGGACGCCATTGTATCTACTTCGCCTTCGGCTTCATCTTGTTCTTCTGCAAGTACTTTACTAGATTGATGTAGATGATGATGATGTTGATGTTGATCAAGGAGTCCGTGACAATAAAACTGCACGTGCAGGTCGACTAAAAAGTCCTTCTTCTACTTCTCTTTTTACTTCGTTACGGGAATTGCATTATGTACATATATTAAAGAATTGGTTATGGATATGTTGGTTTTGAATCAATTACATGGGGGTTCGTCATAACACTAGTACGACCTGGTCTTTTATTTTGTGTCGAAGCACTGGATGGCAAGAACGCAGCGAAGCATACCATTACCATGATGGGGCTACTAAGGCATTACACGTCATTAACCAAAATGGCAGAGCTAACAGGCAAGAACCACGGACGTCGACGACAAAAAAAGACGTAAGCCAGAGCCAGATGAATACTCACATTTTCGCACGACAAAGCTTACGAAACGTGACCGAGGGTGATGAAAGCAGGAGACGCTGATCCTCCGAGAACCCTGAGTTCCTTGCGTTTGAGATTGAATGAGTAACTTCGAGATGAGTTGTCACAAGGTCGTGTCAGTGTATTTGCATTTCGTATCTTCTTCCCGGATTGAGATTTAGAATTGCTCCAGGTCGTTGCTGATGATTTTGGACCTAGAACAAATGAGTCATTTCCTCGTGCGAGGAATAGCTTCTCCGACGATAACTTTTTCTGTTGTTCCACCATTTGTTCTGGCCGGTGCCTGAGTCATGTAGTCAAGATACGAACATCCCTGGTCCACCAAGATAAGCGCCTGAGCATCGCGCAAATAGTTTCCGTATTGCCATTTCTCGTTACGGACATAAGCGCGGATCTTCCAAACGAGTCGAGTGCATTCACCTCTCCTGATTCCAGTTCTGCTGCTAAAACTTCACCCGCGCTTTCACCTCCCCGACCGGGAGCCACACAGCATGCCAAGTGCAAAGGAGATCGACCAAAACCGTCCCGCTGCTCCAGCAAGACGCTTTTGGAGAAGTCTGTAAGTTGCCCCTGACCCTCAGCTGACCTCAATTATACCATTGGATGAGCCAAGACCCCGCCTCCCCCAGGCATGTCAAAGCTGCGATTGTAGCAACTGCGAAAAAATGCCGATACAACATTATGCTGTCCTACGTGACACGCGAGTTGAAACGCCGTCAACGACTGAACGTATGATCAGGAGGCAAGAATCGTGGTCGATACATCAGACGTAACCCCACGACAGTGAGGTTGTTCCGCAGATGAACCTTGTCCCCTCTTTTCGCTAAGATCCGGCTTTCTTCTTTCGAGCGACAAGCCGTCGGCAACCTTTTTCTGTAGCTCTGCGACCTCTACAATTGGCGGCGATACCCAATTTTTATGATGCTGTGATCCCAGCAACCACTGAAGCGCATCGATATTGCGGTGCAGTACCGCAAGTTCAACAGCAGAAAGCCCAGCTGCCAGATCGGTTCTGCTGGCCAACTCGCGTATTCGGCTGGAGTCGTATGCCCAGGAAATGTCCACCCGCAAACGTTCTTCATCAGCTCGTGCAGTGTCCTACTTTTTCGATTCGAATCAGTCAAAAAATTACAATAAGAAAACAACGGTTCTCAGAAGCAACGGGAACGAATACGAATCTTCGAACAGCCAGAAGAGCAATGTCATCAATACTGGCGATGAACTAACACAGAATATACGATAGGAATGTGATCATGAATAGTTGGAAAGAGAGGCTATTTTTGCTCTACAAGCTACTAAAAGATGTCAAAAGCACTAAACGTTTAAGGCACTCGCAAACAATCGTACAGGACACTGTTTTTATTTGTTCGACAAAACAAGCTATCACGCAATCGATAAATCAACAATGTTATCTTGACTGGCTTACCAGCAAAGCGAAGCGAAAAACTGAGGGACAGGGGGTTCCACAGTTCACGTGAAGATTTCTTTTGAAATAAGGGTGATGCCTGATGCGGCTATGGATCCATTGATCTGTCCAGACTATTTCAGAAATTCTTGTCTTCATTTGATCTGCCAACTTGTCATCGTTCTCTTTGTTTTACAGCTGCTTTAAGATACTACTGTAGTCATTGGAGATACACAGATATCTTAATTGGTGCTGGTGCTTTCCCTCGTCGAAATTCCTTTTTTCCTCGCAATGTCGTCATGCCACCCTCATCAAGCAGGAAACAACTCTCATCTTCAGACTGACCGATATGTGGAGCAGCAGAAGGTATACAAGTTACTTAGTAGTACAGTGGAGCAGAGATTATACCGATTCATACTACAGACACAAACTTCATCGGCAACGATGGATCATCGATTTGCTGGTGCCTCACTGCTGAGAAGCCAAGAGTAAGAGAACCAGGTCACTTTCTTAGTTTCATAATCAAGTTCAAGGAGCACGGAAAAGCCTTACCTAAAAGTACTAAGAGGTGTAACGGAGGGTCAATATCATTTCACTCGCGAAGATGAAAAGCATCACATCAGAATCATCATTTTCATTATAGTTACAACATCGAAGTTATGCCATCTATTCGCTACTGGATGATGAGAAAAGAGAAATAAGAATGCTGGGCGCAATCACTCGCGCCCGACTTGGCACATCACAGGGGAAAATCAATAACAAAGGACGCAATGAATGTAGCCAAAATTCAATTCTGTCGATATAATTATGTCGATCGCTGTTCGGCTGACCATCAAAAAAAGGCCAAATATTTCGCAGGCCAGAGCTGCAGGCTGTAATAATTATCACACCCCGGGAAAATGGACGCAAAGAGAAGCGCAGAAGTATCGACATAATTAAAAAGCAGAACTTTTCCATACCGTCGGCCGAAGCTTGAAAGCCGAGGCCGAAGGTGTCTCTGCTTTTTTATAATTATTTCGACAAAATGGGCGCCGCCTGGCGTTTTTATGTCGTAAATTGGATGCGGCGCTATGCTGTATCCCCCCGAGAAAAGAAAATAGTAAGACTTGCCCTAACACGTGGCAGCGGGGTGTAAAAACAATTATTACACCACGGCACTGCGTGCCGAGATAAAAATGGCAGAAATCGACATAATTGAAAACACATAAATGAATTTTGGCTCCATATACACAAGTGGATGGAGAGGTTTTGAAGATAATTTTGTCTGCGATCATAGTCGGCTCTGTACAAAAGACCAACAGTAACCTTCGCATAAACGGAATCGTAAAAATAAGATGAGAGGCAGAGGCAATTGATTCCACAATGAGAACACGATGAATGTCCCTGTTCTCTTCATTGGTATTCAATCATGTATCGTTATGACCGTAATATTGATTTTGAGATATTAAGATAGTAGGAACGGGAATTCTCTACTTTGTGGCACAGCTTTAGCTCCTCGTCCGCCGTGGAGATATTACCGCTTTCGCCTGACATTCTTGCAACCCTTCTCAGGATAGGCGCTGGGCTCTTATTCGTCTGGCGGGTAGCAAAAGTGTCGAAGTATACCAGTACGCTGGCAGTCAGGTGGATATATCATACGCGATGGGCCTCCGGCTGCTTCCACTTCGTCGCGGAGCTGTACTGCCTCCCGAACAGTATCAAGGACTTCTTCGTCGCCTAGAAAAGACTCGAAAATCTGCGCCTCGGTTTCACGTGAGAGCGTGTAGCCCTTGATGTTCATGAGGCTCCCGTGTGGGTCAGCGATGTACCTGTCAAGCTGCCAGAGAACGAAGTCGCGGTCGAGACGGAATTCCTCTGGTACAAACTGCGGACACATCAAGTACGCTGCACCACAGATCTTACCTATGTCGCGAAAGCCTGCAGCGCAGTACTGTAACATCTGAGGGCACCTACGAGACACAAGTTCCAATACGAAACAGTCAGGCGCAACTCCTCGCATGAGACGCATTCCGCGATGGTTGTATTCGCCGAGCTCTTCCGCCGTCCCCTCTTTCAAATTTCCGAACCTCCGCGGAACCCAACGAAGCTGCCTGAAGTCATGTGCAAGAGCAAAGGAAGCAGTTGGAGTAAAATCCCGAAAAGTAGGAAGAAATCCCAGCGCCGGTCCGTAAACAGAAGCAAGAAGGGCAAACTCCTCGATACCTCGAACTTCTCGCGGTGCACAGCTGGCAATATCACTGCGGCCCATAAGGATCGCGTCGGTGATCAGTTCTTGGCGGTCTCTCCTGAACTCGAGAGGGCAAAATCGCAAAAGGTCCACAAACTTTGGAGACCGACGTAACGAAAACTTTTTTTGAGCCATACTTTTCCCGGAATTTATCGCGTCTACGCCTGGCTCGCCAGTCTCGCTGCTCGTGGCCTGAACACTATGCACTTGTTCGGTGTTCGCTTGGTCCGAATCGAATAGCAGGAAAAGAGAAAGGATCCACCGGAGCAGATTGGATGCCTGCTCTGCTAGAACTGAATCCGAGTCATCAAACAACCGCGAGCTGATCACTGCGGACTCAGTCTGCTGCGCCAACGCGTATCGGCTTGACTTGGGGGTACGCTGGTCGAACAAATAATCATCTGAGAAGTGACGTCGAGCGCGCGCACCACGCCCATCCGCTTTCTCAGGAGCCAGATCTTCCGGCTCTGGATCACCGCGCGCCTCCTCGATGGCATACTGATAAAACAACCACTCAGCCTGGCGTAACGCGGAGACGCGCGCTTCTCTTTCGTCCAATGCACAACCCGAAAGAGCGTCAGTTTTCGGGCATCGATGGGTGGCTTCCTCGCCCGACAGAGCCCGGTGCGCGACACGATGTGCCACGGTGCAACAAGCAATGATCTGCGACAATGACGCCAACCGGTCTCTAGCCGTTCGCTGCGAAAAGAGGCTGTGATCGACCACGAGAAGTATGGCACAGGCTGAGGCTGAGCACCCCCCTACCTTATCATGATTTACGGAAGCCCTACCACTGTCTGCGCTAAGGAGAGTCTGCGATTGACATTGGTCTTTCCCTATCTTTGGGTCATGAAATGGGTCCCCACTTGAGACAAGTTCACTCCCGTAGCACTCCTTCCATTCATATGTGCCATCGCTTGTCATTTCGTTTTCGTTCGCCACTTTCCCGGCGCCTCTTACTTCACAATCTTCTGCTGAGCACTTCGTCTGCAGCACCGTCTCCGCTGGACTTTTGATCCGACGATAAAACTTAATCAAGGACATGGGAGGTGGAAAGGCACTCTCGGGCCAATCTCCACCAACACCATCAATAATCGCCTGATACAAGCAGCGTCGCAGGTCGTCAAAAGTGGTCACACGACGCCACTCGATATCAAAAATATTCGAAGTCTGCGATGGACCTGGGTCCTTAAAACGGGCAGGAATATCTATCCGACCGCGCGTGTATCCTGATCGTGCCCGCCTTGGCAAGTTCTCGTCCTCCGCAACTACGTCCCCTGAATTGGGCGGAAAAACAACTCCGTCGCAGAGGTTTTCCTGCAGCACCTCAATCGCTAGTCGATCGCCACCTTCCCAATCAAGCTCAACTTCGAGATGCTGCAAAGGGAAAGTTGAACAAGAACCCTCGAGACTCAGTGGTCCCTCAATTCGATCACAGCCTGAGTCCGGATCGATGAGTCCCTTCTGGAGCTTCTCAACAAAACTCGCATCCTCTTTTTGGACCGGAAGGGCAAGTGGCACTGGAATTGAGTCCAGCTCGTGAAGAGACACGACGCTGAAGCTCTTTTCTAACTCGCTGCGAGTGATAGGGTTTTTAGAGGTAGGTTTTTGGTGCTCGCTTACCCCGCTTTTTATGCCTTTCTCCCTTAGGAGAGGCATAAAAAGCGGTAAGAAAAGCACCTTTAACCTACCCTTAAGGTTTCGATCGGCTTCTTCACATCGAACAGAGAGAAAAACGGGCAATACTCCCTTTGCCAGACTGCCCACAAGCGGAAAGTCATACTGTTCTTCCACCGCAGTATGCTGCAGACAAAGCCTCACGAAAAATGGATCAGCTCGAGCGAAATGCGGAAAAAAATGCAGGACAGGTCCACATGAGGCAGCGTGGTAAGCAAAGTGCCTTGTGTTGAGTACCCTGTCGGATGCTATGCAGACCATTCGTGGGTGGTGTTTTGCAACTTTAAACATGAAATTGATGTTGTCGGTGAGAGCAAAGGGAGCAACAAGCATACGCGTGACATACTGCCATGAATACCTGAAAGAATACAGAAATAAAACGGAGTGCATTATGAATATCGAAACCTTGTCTGCTAAGGAAAAAATAATGAACTGCATCAAAAGTAGATATCCTTCAATGTGGCCTATACACATATCTACAACAAACACGAGCCAGTGCACAAAGCAAACTACGGAGAATTCTATTCAGTCAGTGTGTTGTAAAAACTTTGTCTCCTTTATTGCAGTCAACATCCGAATCTGCTTCTGCATTATGGTATAACGTCTATATCTAAATATATATGCGGCGCAACACGGAGCTTGTCTTCTACACAGAACATCACAGTGACTGATTAAGAATGAATTAGAATATTAAGAGCGATAAAACTTGGCAAACACTTCCCTTCGGAAACCTCAACCTCCAACACCCAAACCCAAAACCTCCGACACAAAAACAAACAAACCCCAAACCCCAAACCCATGAACCCATGAACCCATGAAACCAGGAAACCAGGAAACCAGGAAACCAGGAAACCAGGAAACCAGGAAACCAAGAAACCAGGAAACCAGGAAACCAGGAAACCAGGAAACCAGGAAACCAAGAAACCAGGAAACCAGGAAACCAGGAAACCAGGAAACCAAGAAACCAGGAAACCAGGAAACCAAGAAACCAGGAAACCAAGCAACCAGGAAACCAAGAAACCCCATGAAACCACGAAACCATGAAGCTGGGATTGAATTTCGGGGGAAAGGGCCTAGGGTCAAAAGCTTTAGGATCTTAGCGCTTCAAACTCACGAGCCTCAATCTCAAAACGACGACAAAACGTGGAAAATTTTCGAAATTTGAAAAACGCGAACCCAAGACGAAACCACGAAACCACGAAGCTGGAATTGAATTTCGGGAGAAAGGTCTTAAAGTCAAAAGTTTTAGGATCTTAGCGCTTCAAACTCACGGGCCTCAATCTCAAAACGACGACAAAACGTGGAAAATTTTCGAAATTTGAAAAACGCGAGCCCAAGGATTTAACTTTCAGGGAAAGGGCCTAAAATCAAAAATTTTGGGATCTTAGCCCTTCAAAATCAAAGGGCTCACTCTCAAAATGACGAAAAAGGTGGAAAACTTTCGAAATTTGAAAAACGCGAAGCCAAGAGATTGAATCTCAGGGAAAGGGCTCAAAATCAAAAATTTTGGGATCTTAACGCTTCAAAGAAACTCACGAGACTCAATCTCAAAACGGCAACAAAATGTGGAAAATTTTCGAAATTTGAAAAACGCGAAGCCAAGGAATTAAATTCCAGAGGGCTTAAAGCCAAAAGCCTTGGGGTCTTAGCCTTTCAAACTCACGGGATTCACTCCCAAAACGACGAAAACCGTGGAAAATTATCGAAATTGGAAAAACACGAAGCCAAGAGATTGAATCTCAGAGAAAGGGCTTAAAATCAAAAATTTTGGCACTTTAGCACTTCAAACGCACAGAATTCAATCCCAAAACGGCGACGAAATGTGGAAAATTTTCGAAATTTGAAAAATGCAAACCCAAGAGACTGAATCTCAGGGAAAGGGCTGAAAGTCAAAAATTTGGGGACTTTAGCGCTTCAAACGCACAAAATCCAATCCCAAAACGACGGCAAAACGTGGAGAATTTTCGAAATTTGAAAAATGCAAATCCAAAAAATTGAATCTCAGCGAAAGGGCTTTTTAAAGTCAAAAAGTAAAGTTTTGGGATCTTAGCCCTTGACTTCAAACGCACGATATCCAATCCTCAAACGATGGCAAAACGTGGAAAATTTTCGAAATTTGAGAACGCGTATCGCTTCTATCTTTGTCTTGCTTAGTTTCTTATTTTGGGGAGGAGGGGGATCCTAGTGGGAGGGATGTTATCGGACGCTCCGAGCTAGTGTCTAAAAATACACAGGATGCCCAAGTCCCAGCTCAGGAGCTGGCACAAGCTGATCAACGAGCCACGGATCCGGTTCGATATTGCTATCCGTTCTACGTATCCGCATGCTCGGAAAAGACCAGAGACGTGCGCAGCCACTTAAAACGAACTCCGCCAGACGATAATGCTCTTTCATCGATGTCTCAGAAGCTGCGCACGGAAGAATTTCCGAATCATGGTCAAGCATCTCGGATCCATGAGGGTCTTTGCGCGGTGTGCCAGCTTCAATAACATCGCAAAAAAATGCGAGCTCATCTAGACGCATCCGCGTGAGCTCAAGCCATGGTCTGCAGTGCATCTGTGACCCTGGAAGCGACGTTCTGACCAAAGCAGTCACAAGCCTGTCAATGTGAAAGAAAAAGCCAAGTGGCAGTTGCAACCACCTGTCTATCGCCTCTCTGGTGTAATGGGACTCATCAGTCCAGTCCTCCCTCCCAAACGGAGAGAAAAAGGCCAGCAAGGGTATAGCATCCGACGGGGAATCGCACACACCTTGTACAATGGCATTTTCGCAAAAATCAACCACAAGAGACAAAGTGGCATGCTTCTGTGTCTGCGTATTGTTCGATTCGAACATCAGTATTCGGGAGACCCCGTCAGTCAACGCGGATCCGCACCACAGCAATCCAGCGTCGGTGGCCTTGGAAATCACATCAGAGGAAGAATGTCTATCGTGTACCGCACTGAGAGCACTAGTCGTATCTTCGTCATCAACCGCCCAAAACGAGTCCTGCCCATTCCCATCATTTTTCAAGGATATCCGCATGCATGAAACAGGCAATGCGGCATTATACGGGAAGAGCTCACGAAGCCGCAAGTGAATCTTGCGTGCAAGCTCTCTGCCGCTTGAACGGGGATATTGCTGCTCTTTAGCAGCACAGCGAAATGCCACTTCCAGCTTAAACGTTTCGAACTTTCGTGATATGCCTGCAGGTGACACTGACCCCTGAATAGGCGGAAAATTTTTGCCCTCTTTCACATGATCTCTGCATATTCCTGCATCCGAGTCGCTATTTGCGGCGCGGCATAGTCCGAAGTCCGTCTTCGAGACCCCGCCTGGAAGCCCTCGAGGATCTACAGAAAAAATACACTCGAGAGAAATCTCATCTGGTCCAGAAGAGGAAGCCATCTTTCATTATCACAACTAGAACTACTATAACTTGTACATAAGTATCAGTACTTAACGCGATAGACGACGCCGGATCCATCGACTAAACCTTCTAGTAATCATACTGATTTTATTGACACCTACTTGACGAAGAACTTTTCAATTCAGCGCGACTACCAAAAGAAGAACTTCTATCCACACAACTTCCCAAAAAGAACGAAAAGGGAGAAACGAAAACAAAACTTTCCTGTGCAGAAACTATCTAGAGAAAAGTCACCGGCTCGGCGTGGTGTGCGGTTCGGGACCTCTATGTGCAAACTTTCGATCATATTGTGTGATCGAATAGGGAGTACTTGGACATGCTAATGCTAGTATCCTACGATCTCAGGTGTAGTGCTTTCTGATCGTTTGCGGTGATCGTCGATCTGATAAATTTCCGGTGATCTTATTCTTGGCTCCTATCAAGCGTGGCATCGTTCCTCTCTCCTATCAATTGCGCTCTTCGTGAATCGACACAAGAATGTCTTTCTGGTTCTAACAGATGCAGGTATACCTCAAACAGTCCCTGCTGTGGTGCTGCCACTCCTCTAAATTTCATTCCCCTTCCTCTCGCAGTCCGCCGCTCTCAGGCGGACCACAGCAGCTCTAGTCTTTAGATGACTGACCGATTACAAAAACCATTTTTAAATCTTCTAGAGCTAACGACCAATTGCAGTCCTGCCAACGCTTGGAGCAACCGAAATATTTTTGTTTTTCTCTCATTCCATTTGTTCTAATGAAACTACGTACTTGGGAAAAGTCGCGACAAAAGGAAATTGTAGTTCTGATTATACTGTAACAACAACAAGCATTACTTCGGTATTCCATAAAGGTAAATATTAAGAGCAATAAAACTTTGCAAACACTTCCCCTCCGAAGCCTCAACCTCCAACACCCAAACCCACAACCTCCGACACAAAAACAAACAAACCCCAAACAAACAGACCCCAAACAAACAAACCCCAAACCCATGAACCCACGAAACCAAGAATAAACCAGGAAACCAAGAAACCAGGAAGCCATCCCATGAAACCATGAAACTTTGGGACTTTAGCGCTTCAAACGCTCAAAATTCAATCCCAAAACGGCGACAAAATGTGGAAAATTTTCGAAATTTGAAAAATGCAAACCCAAGAAGTTGAACCTCAGAGAAAGGGCCTAAAATCAAAAAATTTTGGGATCTTAGCACTTCAAACTCACGAGGTTCAACCTCAAAACGACGAAAAACGTGGAAAATTGTCGAAATTGGAAAAACGCGAAGCCAAGAGACCAAATCTCAGGGAAAGGGCTAAAAGTCAAAAGCCTTGGGACTTTAGCACTTCAAACGCACAGAACACAATCCCAAAACGACGACAAAACGGGAGAAATTTTTGAAATTTGAAAAATGCAAATCCAAGAAATTGAATTCCAGGGAAGTACGTAAGGGCTTAAAATCAAAAATTTTGGGGCTTTAGCGCTTCAAACGCTCAAAACCCAATCCCAAAACGACGACCAAACGTGGAAAATTTTCGAAATTTGAGAAATGTAAATCCAAGCGATTGAATTTCAGGGAATGGAAAGGGCATAAATCAAAAAGCTTTGGGATCTTAGCACTTCAAACGCACGAGATTCAATCCGCAAACGATGGCAAAACGTGGAAAAATTTCGAAATTTGAGAACGCGTATCGCATAAATCTTTGCCGTGCTTAGTTTCTTATTTTGGGGAGGAGGGGGATCCTAGTGCGAGGGATGTTATCGGACGCTCCAAGCTAGTATAAATTGTAGTCTAGGTAGTACTGATTATACAAATTTCGACACGTGAATGGGGGTTAACTAGTGGTCGTTCACTTCGTGTCACGCTGGAGTCATTTGATAGGGGTCGCGGAGGTAGTTTTTGGGGTCGCGGAGGTAGTTTTTGGGGTCGCGGTTGCCGCCGGTCTATGCCTCCAATAAATACCAGCATTCAACATTCTGCTCAGTTGAGTTGCGACAATCACGTCGATCACGACATATGTATTTGCTTCTATCCAGAGCGCCTTCTCTTCTGCGGGAGGTTGCCTGCGTGCGTTCCCCAAGAAAACAAAAACCTCCAGGCTTTGTGGGTTGGTGTACATGTGGTTACGGGTTCGGGACAGATTAAAGAGTAAGTCAGTGTTTGATCGTTGTACTTATATAAAACCCCAAAAAGGTGACTGAGCAAGAGCTGCGGATTTCGATTTCTTGGCTGCCAAAATCATACAGGAGGCATCTACGGGCGATAATAATCCGTGATAAAGCTGTAGGTATGAGTAGTTCACTGGACATGGCTTGTGGTGAAACTGAAAGGGTGTGATAGCCACTAGATGGCATGACCTGCAGTGTCCTTACAGTTGGCGATCTCATCTTCATGCTCATCCTGATGCGCCTTCTCCTCGTCCGGCGAGGTTTCACCATTTTTATCGTTGGATTCGGGTGCATTAGTACTAACTTCGTCTTCATCAGATGAAACACTCTGACTGTCTTCGTTTTCACCACTCTCCTCGGCCTCTGACCCGGTGGCATTCTCGTCGACATCCGAAATCCCCTCGTCGCTGTTATCATTTGAGGTCGAGTACGTGCCATAGTCGTACCCGTCATCGTCATCGCTACTCCCAAAGAAATCCTCAAAGGGCATTTCCATCAGTTCTGTGAGGCGATCCAAATTGCGCTCATCTAGATGCATCTCCGCGACTGCTTTCCAGTCCTCTCCTTTATGATTCCTGACTGTCATGTCCATATTCCGTGTTCGCAAGCGCATAACTATGTGTGGGAGAAGCCGTCTGAAATTCTCATTGCGTGCGGACTCTGGATCATACTTTTCGTCCAAAAACGTGGGCCACGGATCCACCTTCACAGAATTTGATTCCGCGTCCCAACGCGGGCGTCCCTCCGGGAGATTTCGATGCAGGAGCCAAAGAAGGGGAGTATTTCCTGTAAGTGGATCTTGTACATCGACGTCCACAGTCTTGCAATCACGCAAAATAATATCAAAGGCGTCGTCTAAAGAATTTCTGCCAGCGTAGAGCAGGGCAGTTTGTCCATCCTGATCACGATCATTGATTTGTAGCTCTTTGTCAGAGAACTTCTGAGTCAACTGGTTAGCAACTGCATCACGGACACGGTTGGAATGACAGCATCCACGACCATAGACACCAGACCAGATTTCGGGTGTGCAACACGCAAGCATTAGTGGAGTGCGCCCCAGACGATCCTTCTGCCAAATGCAAGGCTGCCGGCTAGCCAGAGAGGTGTGTTCGTCTTGCTCAGGGCTCTGCTGATTATAGGATAGCCTCGCGCCTGTGTGGTCATGATCGACAACCTCATTTTCGTCTCGCCTATCGAAGGTGGCAGAGTGTGCCAGTATCGCATTTACAGCTAGGCAATTTCCGGCATAGCAAGCAGCCAAAAAAAAGGTAGTTTCTTCGGCGAAGACAGCACTTGTCCACCTGCGTGAGATGTCACTTTTGCAGGACACACACATCTCCAAACATTCTATGCCTTTGGTCTCAGCTGATGTATTTTCACAAGACGCAGCAACAAATTCACGTGCAATATCTTCACGAGGAAAATATCCTTTAGTGCGCTGACTAAGCATGGAAAGTAAAAACACGTTCTCTGCCATGATCGCATAATGGAATGCAGAAAGTCCATATATGTCGCGCATCTCCAGAAGCGGCCTCATCGCCTCCAGGCGCAGCTCGCTCCCGCGTTCGACCGGCCCGCCTAATTCACCGAAGTCGATGCAGCCTAAGTGTTGCTCGAGTAAAATATGGAATGGTACAAGACTGCAGATACACCTCATTGAATGATCATAAAATGGTACATCCATGAGGATTGTGCGCCGCTTCTTTTCATCTGAGTAAATGGCCCAATCCCAAAACGTAGCTAGCAAAACATCTTCCAAATCATCTTAACTTGAGTAGCCTTGATCCCCAAGAAGTAGGCAGAACTCTAGGAAAGACATTGACGCGCCTTTGAGGCGAAACTCGGTGCGCGCAGCGGGCAGAAGCGCAGAGCGAGACGATCTTATTTCCATGCCACCAGAATGACAATTCCCTTCCCGAGAGTTTTCATGGCTCGTCCACGTGTCCGTTGTGCCACAAGCTGGGTTACAACTACTCATGTGCCCCTGGGCTACGTCGATATCGTGCTTGCACTGACACAGGATAAAGTGGGTAATATCCTGCAGGACAAGAAAAAGATCCCGGGGCAACACAATGCTTTCGTCAGCACGATAGATCCCGAGATCGTTGAGAGCTATCAGAAAATTTTTCCATTTCGTTTGCTCCTGAACCTTCCAATTGCGACCAGGTTCGATGGCACCCGCCATGCACGCCCTGAAACCGTTTGATTTTGACGTGAATTTGTGATAACCAATTGCACCTATCTTCTTCTACCAAGAATTCGGATATAGTTCGAGTATGTTGAGACTCAAATGGACACGATCCACCAAATGCTTACTGCGAGAGCAGTTCTGCACCTGCAACTCTACAGACATCACTACTACGAGGTGGAGGTCGAAAATTAAGTCAAATTTCTTTGAGATGAAGCTGTGTTGATTAAAAACAAGAAAGGTCTTTCTAAGCTCGAAAATACCGAACCCACTCGGCTCTGCACTTGGCGCAACATTGGGACCCTCTGCACTCGTCGGCAGGATTGGCGCCCCCGTCACAGCCTCTTTCACAGCACTGACCCAACTCTTCGACAGTCATGAATGCAGACTCGTCAGGCTGGTCATCTTGCATCCCTTTTATTAATGGAGATATAGTCGTGATCTCCCGCGCGTACCCCAACGCTTGTTGCTTCGCAAACGAAACCTTTTTCTCGAAACGCAGATTCCTTCGAAGCACCTGAAGCATATCATCACGAGGTACGAGAAACCAATTTTGATTCGGAAGAAGGGAAACAATGCGTGGGGTGGGATCTTCGGTGCTCGTGGTCTCGATCAATATCCGAAGCTCATAATTGAGTGTCTCAATTGCATCAGAGTCGAGGGGGATGCCATACAGAAGAACCCCATTCAGAGGCAACACACCTAACTGCTCATGCACAATGTCGACGAAGCGGTCAGATGGCACTTCCTTCATCTCCTCATTTTGAGGGGCAGCGCGTAATCTTTCGAACGCGCTTTGCCGCAAGTCAGCAACAAACCTGCGTAGGGTAAACCTTGCTTCACTGGATTCGGATGCTGCTAAAGCAGCCTTGCTGTTCAGGTTTCCAAATCGCGCATTGGTGGACCTCGATGGCTTCTTCAGCAGGTCTTTTAATTGCAGCGCAATTGTGTTGCGGCTTTCCCTTTCGAGACCAAAAGAAAAATTGAGGTCGAACATTTTTGTCTCTAAGAAAGTTGTTTGTTGATAAGAACTACGATTCTCCTTACTCCCGAACAGTCCCTTTTCACCTCCTATTTCATGAAAAAAGCGGCTTCATATCGCTTGAGGACTCGAAGAGTCTTGAATCGGTGACGAGCGCAAGATTGTCAGATCTAGTAGTAGTACTCTTATCAGAAGCAATGAATAAACAATAAAGTTACTAACGCAAAATACAGGAGAAAAAATTTTCTATCGTATAACACTCGAATAGTGAATCCACTACTTCCCAAAAAGAACGAAAAGGAAACACTGAAACTCAAACTTAGGGATTTCCTGTGCAAATACTATACCTGGGTGGGCGTGGGCAAGAAAAAATCAGAGAAATTCTTTTCAGAACCATATCTATGTAATGTACAATTATGGGCCTAAAAGATCTTATTTCTTGCAGTACTTCCTGATCGTTTCCTTTGATCTTCCTTGGTGCGGGTTATTTCAGGAGTGTGCTCATATTTCTTCAGCGTAGTGACAGTGGGTCTCTCCTGTACTTTTTAATGTCTTCAACTTGACCCTGACGAGTAGCAATTGTCGAAGATGTGGTCTTAAAAGATGCACAGATATCTCAACGTGAACTCCATGCTGCTTCTAGTTCTCGGAGGTTCTTCGTACAGCTTGCCACATTTTGCCGAAAATATCAATCAGCACATTACTCTGGTGCGCATACACAGAATGCCTGAAACCAAAATTCATACAGATGCCGAGCACACACACCGATCTATCTCTCGCTCAACGCACACTTCCTCTCACCGATACATTTTCTCTTGACATCATAATCATGACAAGCTTCTACCAGTAGAGTCTTCCCTGTTTCGAGTTTTGCAGAGATTGAAATATATATGCTACTCACACGCAATAGTGCGATCGGCGTAAAGTCGCATCATCTATCGGGTTGGCGCTGGGAGAGTACGGCTTCGCCATTCATTCTAGTACTAGCACTACTAGCTTTGTTCTTATACACAGATATTTAATTTTTCACATCATAGAACGTCTTTCTTCTTTAAACTGCGCGTCAGTGGTAATACCACGTGTTCAAGTGGGGGATTGCTGCGAGAGGGTTTTATTCTCAATTCACAATTTGCTGGGAAGCCTTCCCTACAACCGTCAAAAGATAATCAAGAAAACCGTAAATGAATGGGAATCATGTGACTCAAATCTAGTATTGTGCTGAGGGGTTAAGTAGTTCAATATCCGCCTATCCACGACTTTGCTTTACTTTTTCGTATGTCATTCTTGTCGCTAAGATGGAAACTCCGCAGCGCAAAACGGTAAAAATTCAAATTTTACTCACATCTTGGTGCGCGCATTTTCAAGTGTCAACGCTGAACGCCGAGTAAAATGAACCAGCCTGACTACTAGCCTGATCAAAAAGCGAACTACTTGTTTCGGAGTCATTACCATCGTCTTCTGACGTGCAGGAGCTGCCCCCCTGCTCTGGTACCTCGTAACAATAAAAGGGAACTACACCTAGGGGGATTCGCTCTGGTGCGAAAGCAGTGCACTTTGGTCCCCCTGCTGCCTGAACTTCGTCACCACGGCGCTTTGCCGCGTCGCGTGCCTTCTCGAGAACCTCCGCATCGCCAGCGTACAGTCTCAAGATTTTGCTTTCCGCCTCCCGCGCAAAGGTGTCATCAACGATACCCAGGTGCCCATGTGCGCCAGTAATGTACATCCTGAGACACCGAAGAACGAACTCGCGATCCCTGTAGAATCGCTCTGGCACGCATTCCGGACACATCACCAACGCGGAAGTGCACATGGCCTTGACTTCACGGAAACCGGAAAAGCAACACTCGACGAGATGAGGACATATACGTGTAACAATACCATGCACGAAACACTTCGGGGTTATCCCGCGCATGAGACGCAGGCCGCGAACGTTGTACTGTCCGATCGCAGAGGCGCTGCGTGTAATTTCATCTTCGGACCTCAATGGGACCCACTTTACTTGGCGCAGGTCGTAGCTCAAACAAAAGGGAACGATAGCTGAGAAGTCCCGATAAGTGGGCAGAAACCCGAGAACTGGGCCGTACGCTGACGCAAGGAAAGCAAACTTCTCTCGCTTACGGATTTTCCACGGCGCACAAGCGGTGATATCGCTACGACCCAGCATAATGGCATCCGTAATCAGCTCTTCGCGTCGTTCTCTGAACCCAACAGGGCAAAATCGTAAGAGATCCACGTGTGCGGAAGAGCGAGAAAAGCAGCCCTTGTCGGCAGTTCCATTGCCAGTTGATTTATCTGGGTTTGGGCCGGCCTCCACTGATGCCACGACCCCCGACCCGTGTCCAGTAGTTTCCCCTACGGCTCTGCTGCTGCCGCATTCGAACAGAAGGAACAGAGAGGCGACCCACTGGAGCAATTCAGGTCGCTCGCCCTTCTGGTCACGAAGCTCGGAAGGCCGCTCTTGGGCTTGGGCTGCACCTACCACGCCTTCGTCAGGTAGGCCCGATGCATTGCTCTCTTGCTCAGGTGAACCCGAAACAGGGGCTTCCTCTTTATGAATAGATTGACTTCGTGCCTCCTCTACCGAATACTGATAAAAAAGAAGTGCTGCGTGTCGCAAAGCAGATGTTCGCTGCTCCCGTTGCCTCTGGGCACACGCCGGAAGCATATGGTCTCTAACTCGTCCTTCGCGCCCCTCCTCACCTGATAGAGCCTTTCGAGCTATGCGATCCGAGATCTTGCAGCACGCTGCCATGTGGACCAGAGACTCCCGCTGGCTTTCCAAAGTACGCCACGAAAAGGCATTAAGATTGACCAACAACAATATTTCATCTGGCCCATCTGCAACAAAGCGAGCATGCGGTGTTCCCATCGTCCGAGAGCGCTCCAGCTGAGGTGCTTCCTTGGCGCGCCGAAACCTGTTTCTTTCCTGTATGAGGTCGCTTCCATTGCATTCGACCCACAAGCTGGAACTCTCCTCTACTTTGCGTGATAACTCTCTGGCAGCGTCGCTCTCAAGTACCTCCGAGGAATCGATCGACCCATCCCCAGGAGAGGTCGGCTGACGCCGATAAAATTGGATCAATGACATCGGCGGAGGAGAAGCGTCGGCAGGCCATCCATCAGCAACACCGTCGAAAATTGCTTGGTAGGCACACCGGCGCAAATCGTCGAAAGTTTCGGCGGAGCGCCACTCCACATCAAAAATTGACACCGATGATGCGCTTGGATCTTTGAATCTTGTTGGAATCTTCATCGAGTGCAGGGGAGTTGTAGCAGCGAGCAACGTCCTATGACGGTCATGTCCAACTCCCTCAACCACATTGTCGCGTAGTATGCTCACTGTAAAATAAGAAGCGGGGTCCTCTATTGCCGCCAGATCGAGTTCGATTTCCGCGTGGTCGAGCGGGTATGAACAAGAAGAAGGCCCCAAGGCATCTCTCGGCGGGCTTGTTGCGCTCGCGGATGGAACCACACTCGGGGACTGACTATCCTGCGGCCCCTGCTCGTGGTACGAAAACGAAAGATACAAAGTACTTTCGAGCTCCCTCTGAACAGACTCAGGCAGCTGTGGGCAAATGTAGCCCTGCAGCGAAGAAGCAGCATGCGGCGGCATCTGTTTCAGTACCCTTAGGGTGTCAATACCAAGACACTGCTTGAGATCCCTCCGAGTGATTGGTTGTGTCTGGGCTTTTTCACAGCGTACCTGAAGATGGACTGGCAACACATGCTTATATCTAACGGATGGAAACTGGTACTGGTTGTCAAAGCAGGTATGCTGTAAGCACAATCGCACAAAAAAAGAATCTGTCCGAGCAAACTGGGGAAAGAAATGTAAGACGGGCCCACATGATGCGGCATGGTACGCGAAATGCTTACTGTTCAGGACCCTATCGGACGCGATGCAGACCAATCGCGGATGGTGCTTCGCTACTTGAAACATGAGACTCATGTTGTCCGTGACAGCGTACGGTGCGACAAGAAGCCTTGTCGCATATCGCCACGAATATCTGTCAAAAATTTTCAATTGACATGTCTGGAACTGGATTCGCATGAAGATGTTGAGCATTAGATATTAATGAACCTGCGCAGCAAAAAGGCTCCACACGAAGCACCGCAGATTTCCCCCAAATCCAGCGTCAACAGATTATACCTACAGAAGCTAACAACTACAAAATTATAAACATGAATATCTAGTACAGTAATTACTGCGAGTAGAAAAAGAATGCGAGAAAAGTTGCATGTTCCCTTGGGAAAGCCTCTCGAGGCATCAACATACCCACAACATTCGAAGGCAAATACTAAAAAATCAGTTGATCGGTACACTGAATATGCGAGCCCCAGATGTGGCAGTGGCGCAAGTTGGTCTAAAAGCCAGGGGTCTGGCTTTCCTTTAGGGGGTTCGTATCGCACCTCCTGCTTACCCCACATTCGGCCGCAGCCACGAAGTACAAAGTCTGCGAGCCGCATTTCGTTTTCCGCAAAAGCAGTCGTTTCATTCAAGATAGGTTCCTGCTCATAGTCAAACATCTGAGTTCCACCCGGATCTCTGATCTGCTGGTCACAAATGCTGTCGGAGAAAAATGCAAGCTCATCCAGCCGCATCTCCTCGTCGTCCATAGAGGAAGACCTCCTGTGGTTTCCCGCAGTGCGAAGGCATGTTGCAGCGACTTCTTCAAGAATCTTATCCATCTTGCGAGAAAACCCATAATAGTAGGAAAACGTTAACCAGTCACTTACCGCTTCGTGACAGTAACGGCCATTGACCCAATCGTTATCGCCAAATGGAGAAAAAAAGCTGAGCGAATGCGCGCCGAATGGGAGCACGTCCAAGCCATGAAGAGTCGCGTCTTCACAGACGTCCACAACAAGAAACACGCGAAAGCATTTGCTTTGCGCCCTTGGACGAGGCCTGTTTAGTATCAACACTTGGGAAAAGCCGTTTGCAGACTTTGATCCGCACCATAATAGAGGAGGCTCCCGCTCATCAGTAGCCAAGTCAGATGCGCGACCTTGGCATACATTTTTTTCACGGGAGCTCGTCTCATCTTTTTCGTCTACGACAAGCTGGAATAAGGAAGCGTCTGTTTTCTGTTTCTCTTCATCCACCGAAACTTGCATACACGAAATCGGTAGGGCCGCATTCCAAGGAAAAATTCGTCGCAAGTGTTGGTGGATATTTCGCGCAACCTCGCGCCCGCTCATTTTTGCACCATGCCCGTCGTCATTGTACGAGTGCGAAATGCTGAAGCTTATCGTACCAACTGATAATAGCTCCGACGATGCGGCAATTCGCGAGACAAAGGGCCTATCTCGAAGAGCGGCGCGAGAATCGTCATCATCATGATAACCATCTTCGCTATCTAAATAACCATCATCTTCTATATCCGTTCGCTGATCTTCCGGGTAGAATAAACTGGACATCAATGCAACATTCTTCGAACCACCTCCACCGCGATCCTGCGCACTGCTCATTCGTTGCGGAAGGGCCCGTCTGGCAACAGAAATGTCACACCATACTGTCCCCTCCATTGCTATCTATGGCTGCGCGATTGTCTAACCGCTCTCAACTGTGAATTTTCGATCGGTTTTCCCATACACAAATCTGCTGCATTTTCGTTTTCCTTATGTTGCTGCTCAGGTCTAGTCATATTTCGCGAGGCTGCGCCAAAATCGATCGAGACACAAGCTTTCTTCGAAGAGGGTCATCATGAATCACATCCATGCTATAAACGCAAGAATATCTTGATAGGAAGATCTTACGCTTACTTAATTGGATCCTGTTCCCGTGGCTTTAGGTGGCGTCCCTGATCAGGGGAAGACAACCCACCCGTAGGAATTTATGTACTATATATGAGTCTGTTAAAAAAACAATCAGGGGGCGATGCTAGAGCAACACCTACTACTTTGCGAATGCGACTATGGTATATTAAGAAGTACTTGAGCGTGCTTAATATGGATACAATTACAACACCAAGGAAAATACTGGCAAAAGCACAACTTCAACTTCTATCAACACTGCTTCCCAAGAAAAAGAACGAAGAGGGAGAAACGAAAACAGACAACTTTCCTGTGCAAAACTATCTGAAGAAAAATTAACCGGTTGGGGATGCCCGGTCCGAGACATCTAATATGTGTGAATCTTCAATTATTTTCTGATTGAATAGAGACTACTTAGGAATGCTAACGCTACGATCTCAGGTGTAGTGCTTTCTGATCGTTTGCAGTGATCGTCGATCCAATCAATTTCCGGTCATCTTATTCTCGGCTCCTATCAAGCGTGGCATGGATCCTCTCTCCTATCATTCGCACACTTCGTAAATCCACACAAGCATGTCTTTGTAGTTCTAACAAATCCAGGTATAGCTCAAACAGTCCCTCCTGTGGTGCTGCCACTCCTCTAAATCTCATTCACCTTCGTTCCTCTCGCAGTACGCCGCTCTCAACTAGACCACAGCAGCTCTCGTCTTTAGACTGAGCGATTACAAAAACCATAAAATCTAACGACTGATCGCAGTCCTGCCAACACTTGGAGAAACCGAAACAAATATTTTTGCTTCATCTCTTTTCAGTTAACAATTACTACCACTAGGACAAGTCGGATTGAACGAAGGTCGTAAATTGTAGCTCTGATTATACAAGTTTCGCCACATGAATGGGGGTTAACCATAGATACGACCAGCATTCAACATTCTGCTCAGTTGAGTTGCGACAATCACGTCGATCACATATGTATTTGCTTCTAACCAGAGCGCCTCCTCTTCTGCGGGAGGTTGCATGCGTTTCCCAGGAAAACAGCGCGATTGTGGGCCTGAAACTTGAAGAAGTTAATCCTCCAGGCTTTGTGGATTGGTGTACATGTGGTCACGGGTACAAGACAGATTGAAGAGTAAGTGTTTGATCGTTGTGCTAAAGTACATTTAACCCCAAAAAAGTGACTGAGCAAGAGCTGAGGACTTCGATTTGGCTGCCAAAATCATACAGGAGACCTCTACGGACGGAGCTCCGTTATGAAGCTATACATAGTGATATGAGTAGTTCATGGGACATGGCTTGTGGTGAAACTGAAAGGGTGTGATAGTCACTAGATGGCATGACATGCAGTGTCCTTACAGCTGGCGATCTCATCTTCATGTTCATCCTGATGCCCCTTCTCCTCGTCCGTCGAGGTTTCACCATTTTTATCGTTGGATTCGGGTGCATTAGTACTAACTTCGTCTTCATCAGATGAAACACTCTGACTGTCTTCGTTTTCACCACTCTCCTCGGCCTCTGACCCGGTGGCATTCTCGTCGACATCCGAAATCCCCTCGTCGCTGTTATCATTTGAGGTCGAGTACGTGCCATAGTCGTACCCGTCATCGTCATCGCTACTCCCAAAGAAATCCTCAAAGGGCATTTCCATCAGTTCTGTGAGGCGATCCAAATTGCGCTCATCTAGATGCATCTCCGCGACTGCTTTCCAGTCCTCTCCTTTATGATTCCTGACTGTCATGTCCATATTCCGTGTTCGCAAGCGCATAACTATGTGTGGGAGAAGCCGTCTGAAATTCTCATTGCGTGCGGACTCTGGATCATACTTTTCGTCCAAAAACGTGGGCCACGGATCCACCTTCACAGAATTTGATTCCGCGTCCCAACGCGGGCGTCCCTCCGGGAGATTTCGATGCAGGAGCCAAAGAAGGGGAGTATTTCCTGTAAGTGGATCTTGTACATCGACGTCCACAGTCTTGCAATCACGCAAAATAATATCAAAGGCGTCGTCTAAAGAATTTCTGCCAGCGTAGAGCAGGGCAGTTTGTCCATCCTGATCACGATCATTGATTTGTAGCTCTTTGTCAGAGAACTTCTGAGTCAACTGGTTAGCAACTGCATCACGGACACGGTTGGAATGACAGCATCCACGACCATAGACACCAGACCAGATTTCGGGTGTGCAACACGCAAGCATTAGTGGAGTGCGCCCCAGACGATCCTTCTGCCAAATGCAAGGCTGTCGGCTAGTCAGAGAGGTGTGTTCGTCTTGCTCAGGGCTCTGCTGATTATAGGCTAGCCTCGCGCCTGTGTGGTCATGATCGACAACCTCATTTTCGTCTCGCCTATCGAAGGTAGCAGAGTGTGCCAGTATCGCATTTACAGCTAGGCAATTTCCGGCATAGCAAGCAGCCAGAAAAAAGGTAGTTTCTTCGGCGAAGACAGCACTTGTCCACCTGCGTGAGATGTCACTTTTGCAGGACGCACACATCTCCACACATTCTATGCCTTTGGTCTCAGCTGATGTATTTTCACAAGACGCAGCAACAAATTCACGTGCAATATCTTCACGAGGAAAATATCCTTCAGTGCGCTGACTAAGCATGGAAAGTAAAAACACGTTCTCTGCCATGATTGCATAATGGAATGCAGAAAGTCCATATATGTCGCGCATCTCCAGAAGCGGCCTCATCGCCTCCAGGCGCAGCTCGCTCCCGCGTTCGACCGGCCCGCCTAATTCACCGAAGTCGATGCAGCCTAAGTGTTGCTCGAGTAAAATATGGAATGGTACAAGACTGCAGATACGCCTCATTGAATGATCATAAAATGGTACATCCATGAGGATTGTGCGCCGCTTCTTTTCATCTGAGTAAATGGCCCAATCCCAAAACGTAGCTAGCAAAACATCTTCCAAATCATCTTCACTTGAGTAGCCTTGATCCCCAAGAAGTAGGCAGAACTCTAGGAAAGACATTGACGCGCCTTTGAGGCGAAACTCGGTGCGCGCAGCGGGCAGAAGCGCAGAGCGAGACGATCTTATTTCCATGCCACCAGAATGACAATTCCCTTCCCGAGAGTTTTCATGGCTCGTCCACGTGTCCGTTGTGCCACAAGCTGGGTTACAAATACTCATGTGCCCCTGGGCTACGTCGATATCGTGCTTGCACTGACACAGGATAAAGTGGGTAATATCCTGCAGGACAAGAAAAAGATCCCGGGGCAACACAATGCTTTCGTCAGCACGATAGATCCCGAGATCGTTGAGAGCTATCAGAAAATTTTTCCATTTCGTTTGCTCCTGAACCTTCCAATTGCGACCAGGTTCGATGGCACCCGCCATGCACGCCCTGAAACCGTTTGATTTTGACGTGAATTTGTGATAACCAATTGCACCTATCTTCTTCTACCAAGAATTCGGATATAGTTCGAGTATGTTGAGACTCAAATGGACACGATCCACCAAATGCTTACTGCGAGAGCAGTTCTGCACCTGCAACTCTACAGACATCACTACTACGAGGTGGAGGTCGAAAATTAAGTCAAATTTCTTTGAGATGAAGCTGTGTTGATTAAAAACAAGAAAGGTCTTTCTAAGCTCGAAAATACCGAACCCACTCGGCTCTGCACTTGGCGCAACATTGGGACCCTCTGCACTCGTCGGCAGGATTGGCGCCCCCGTCACAGCCTCTTTCACAGCACTGACCCAACTCTTCGACAGTCATGAATGCAGACTCGTCAGGCTGGTCATCTTGCATCCCATTTAATAATGGAGATATAGTCGTGATCTCCCGCGCGTACCCCAACGCTTGTTGCTTCGCAAACGAAACCTTTTTCTCGAAACGCAGATTCCTTCGAAGCACCTGAAGCATATCATCACGAGGTACGAGAAACCAATTTTGATTCGGAAGAAGGGAAACAATGCGTGGGGTGGGATCTTCGGTGCTCGTGGTCTCGATCAATATCCGAAGCTCATAATTGAGTGTCTCAATTGCATCAGAGTCGAGGGGGATGCCATACAGAAGAACCCCATTCAGAGGCAACACACCTAAATGCTCATGCACAATGTCGACGAAGCGGTCAGATGGCACTTCCTTCATCTCCTCATTTTGAGGGGCAGCGCGTAATCTTTCGAACGCGCTTTGCCGCAAGTCAGCAACAAACCTGCGTAGGGTAAACCTTGCTTCACTGGATTCGGATGCTGCTAAAGCAGCCTTGCTGTTCAGGTTTCCAAATCGCGCATTGGTGGACCTCGATGGCTTCTTCAGCAGGTCTTTTAATTGCAGCGCAATGGCATTTCCGCTGTCGAGGCCAAAAGAAAAATTGAGGTCGAACATATTCACGACAAATCTGATTGATTCCTGATGAACAAGCAAATGCTCCCTATTGTATTTCTTGCTAAGAGTAAGATGTTTCATTCAAAGAAAAACTTAGTCTAACTTTCATTCAAACAAAAACGATTTCTATTTCAACCTATTCACAAGATGACTTGGTATATTCTTAGCACCGCATGTATAAATCCTTGCACTTGCTCAAAGGTAGAAAGAAGTATAATGATTGAAAGTCGTATGTACTCACTGATGCTGTTGCCCTGATGCAAAAAATAATAATAATAGCGGGGGCAAGGTGAGCCCGGGGTTTGGTGGGCTGTTCACTACAGTACTCCACGCACCATGCATCCGGTGCAAGACAATAGGAGCCAGCCTAAGGACTACCTTAAGGTCCGGAGCGCCTCCAAGGCGCAGAGTTGGTTATTGGCAAAATTCAGCAGTTTAGTTAGAAGCCGGACCGCCACGCCAAGGCACTGCTGTCAGTCCGGTTCCCGCCCTGGAGTACAAGAACGGGAGCGACAAAATTGCGATGGTTGCTGCGTGAGGATCCGCGCACATCTGAAGCCAAAATCGACAAAATTGCGGGGCAACGAATTCGGGGGGAGGCAAAATCGGAAACCAAAAGGTCAAAACTGCATATCGAGGCTGGATAGGAGGGGTATCTTCAGAACCGCAAGAGCGAGGGCAAAACAACAAAACGTCAAAACTGCAAGGGAGAGCCAGCCGACAGCTGGCTACTCCTCGCCAGCGTCCGCCTCCAGTGCGATTTCTTCTTCGGCGATCGCACACGACCACGCGGCTAGTTCTTCCGCTGTAACCGGGAAGCGCACTCTCTGGGTGCAAGCCAAGAGGTGAGCCGGCGTATCCGCATAGCGCTGGCATAAACTGCATGGCCGGAGACGAAGACCAGACTCCGTGACCCATTTGTTCCGGGACCCATTGACCAAGGTGGCGCCCGCAACTTGGGCCCTTCTTGAACCAGCTCCCGCCCACTGCGCTAGAATGCTGCGGAGCATGTTCCGATGCGTCTCTCTGGTGACGTGCAGATTGCTAACCGCCGCGCCGCTGAAGCTGGGCACTGCAAGCGCCAGAGCCCGAAGGGTGGCCGCCTCCTCTTCTGCAAGCTTGCACTTGATCGACGCCCGTAAGCACGCCGGGGTAGGATTGAAAGGCCAGCTGCCCAATATACCAGGCGACGCGCAGCGAGTGGCGTGCGAGACGATGGCATCCACTACGTCATGAGGAGCGCAGCCGACGTGGCCGGGAATCCACTGGATGCGTACTTCGTGAAAGGCCGAGCAGGCAGCCACTAACACCCAGAGGCACTGCGTTTCCGCGCCGCCTAAGTCAGATCTGCCGGCGCACGCGTTGGAAAGCATATCCACGAGACTGCGGCAATCCGTGACCAGGGTGAGCCTGAGCCCCTGCCGCGCCCTGTCGTAGCCTTTTTGCTCCTCGTGTTTGTTCTTTGCGACAGCCAAGAGAAGACCCATCGTGGCGGCTCTGGTTTCCATGGAGTAGCTGGAGGGGACGCCGCCGTATAGCTCCACCTCCGCAACAGCCTCACCCTGGTAGAAGACGACAGCCCCTGCCGCTCCAATTTGGTTCGCGTTGAGGGATCCGTCGGTGGTAACTACGAGCTCCTCTGGGTCGTGGATGCGGCGCCGGAGGGGGGCCGCCGACTCCGGGCCGTCTGTGTATACGAGAGTCAAGCGCTCGCGAACGATGGGCGGCGCCTGCCACGACTGAAAGCATTCAACCGAGCCCGCAGACCATCCAGCGGCCGTAAGTGAGGCGATCGCCTGTGTTACCCACTCTCCGGCAAGGCATCTGGGCGGCGGCAACTCGGGCGCATAGCTGTGATACATCGGCTTCGACAGAGGGGGCACCGGATCGCTTGTCTTGTCCTTCGGGCGTCCCCAGTGTCGGATCGCCTTCACCATAGCCATGGTGGCCGCCGATTCACCCGACAGCGCGTGCGTGCTAACTGGAGTCGAGAGCTCCATGAGCCTAAGGCCGGCGCGTAGTGCGCGGCCTGCGGTGCGACTGAGACCCGGCACCTGTGGGCACGAGAGGTGCTGGAGGCCTGTTGGCGGACCGCGAAGGACAGCGTCTAAGGTGGTCGCCGTGCGATATGTGAGGACGTTGTAGACCGAATGAAGCCCACTTGTCAGCCAGAGAGCCTCGCGGCGTGTGGAGCGCCCGGCCCCAGTAACGACCCTGGCCGCTGGGTTAATGCATCTGACGTTAATGCGCAGGAGAGCTTCCTGCTCTATGGTGTATCCGTAGGCAACAATCCCGTAGGCGATTATGTGCTGGATTAGTGCGACTGCTGTGAAGGAGAGCAGCGACATCTCCGCGCCCCATCTGAGTGCCTTTAGACGTTTGAGCACGGCTAGTCGTGGCTCGATCTTGCGTACAAGTTGGTCCACGTGACTGCGGAAAGATAGGCTCGGATCGAAGTGGACGCCTAAGACGCGAAGCGACGAGACGACGGTAGCCGGAAGAGGGTGCTCCGCTGGGTTGTCTGCGGCGTCGCTGGTGTCGCAGGCGCGTTTCCTTGGGCGACCTGCTTGGAACGTGTCGGAGGGCCTGCGCAAGAAGGAACTAACCTCGGCGAAGAAGAACCCCTTTTGCTTTTCTTCGTCCAGAGATAACCCAAGGACTGCGATGTAGTTGCTGATGGCGTCTATTGCCTTCCGGGCCGATGCTGCCACTTCTGCGTAGGTATTGCCGCTAACGTGGAGAGTATGATCATCCGCATACAGTACCAGCTCCACCCCAGGCACTTCTAGATGTAAGAACTCGAGCACCACATTCCAAAGCCACGGGCTCAGGCATCCTCCTTGTGGTACGCCGGTGGTAAGCTGATACCACGATCCGTACTGCCCTGATGCAAAAAAAGAAGCGTATTATAATTAAGCAATCTTCAAAAGGAAACTTTCCAGTATACTTACTCATGACTTCAAGATCCCTTGTGCAGAAATCTTTTCTGATCTGTTGCTTGGGCCCAGCCAATATTCATTTCATGTGATCTTTTGTGTGTCTTGATCGTGGGGTTAGTTTTCTCTTCTTGTCCTTTCTGGATCTGCCTCTCTCACTCTCTCTCTTGCATACGCTGAAATTCAAAAAAGTCCAGTCCTAAAAGATGTAAGAAAAACTCAATCTAATGCTGGTGCTGCGAGATATCGGACGCTCTTCATGATGCTTCTAGGAACAATATCTACGCCGACCTCATTAATATCAAGGAGGCAATTCTAACCCACTTCTTCACTACAGAACTGACCGACTCTCGAAGCCAGATGAAGACACCAGACATCTATGGAACAGATGTAACCTATGATGAACACCGATACGCACTACTTTACGACAGATACATTAGCATTGTCTCTTCGCTTTGCAATTGCCGAGGGACCACGACGTGACGAGAAAAGTACACAACAGAAAACTGCAGCAGCTGCAATAAGGGTTAGGGTTTCCTTCTGATTAAATGTTGAAAATGCAACTGTGGTTTGGGCGGACGTGTGAAGGCAATCATACACTGTGCAACATGTTGTTTTCTGTCCACCAACAAGAGCTGTCAGGCTAGTAGATTAGACAACGCTCCTGCGGCCTGGCTACATATGCGTGTGCGCGATGACAAGATGTGATCTATTCATAATCAATGGCTTGAAAATTCAGAATGGCTCGAGAAAAAGCACATAATGAGATTCATTGATCGTGGCGTATCTAAATCATCTGCGGGTACTCTTGAGAGGTACAAACTTCTATTAATATAATATAACGATTTTCATCCATGGTAGGCGGGCTAGTTTCATTCATTTTTTTTCGCCGCTGATAGGCGACCTGCTGCCGTAGAGAAATAATGACTTTGAACCGAAGAAGACCAAGTCGTTACATCTTTTTAAACAAGAAAGTATATGATTGAGCCAGAACACTAGTCTAGGTCGCAGAGTTTGAGTCACCAAGTGACAGGTTGAGACAGTTGAGAAGTCATTTTTGTTTTGTTCCCTAAGGTGGTGTAAATTGGGTTGTCCTATGATTTTTCGATTGGAACAAGGAGAAAGACCTAGCTATTAAATTAGTCTAGTTAATATTATGCTAAAAAACAGATCTGAAACTGCACCAGAGGAACAGCAATTCTGGCCGGCCTTTCGCAGAGTGATAATTAGTGAGACCAGTCCAAAACATGACTCTGCATTTTTAGCCCTCACTCACACAATCAGGTTCGGAGTAGGCAGAGCAATCAGAATTAGCATCGCATCGCAACCAAGTATCCCCGTCGAGCTCTGACGGTATCACAAAATCGCCACTCTGCGCCTCTGTTTTTGGTTGACCAAGAGTTAAACTCAAGTAGGATCCTACGCTGATATTCGCTGCCATCTCAACCAGTCCAGCTGTATCTCGGGCATCAATTTTATGGCCTAGTTGCCGGTAGTACGGAATGAGCACGTCTGTAGCCCAATTATGTGGCATGGGTTCTCTTTGTAGCTGCGGAAGCGTTTTGAGAAAGGTGCGCACGTCTTCAACCTCTGCGGCGTCTCGGCAGCATAGTGTCATCCGAAAAACCGCAGAGGGGAGAGTAATCGGACAGAGACGATGACACGAGCGAATCGGCATCTTTGACGAACAGTCCGACCTCATTGGACCATCTGACGAGATCGCGTTTTCCATTCGTTGCTTATGCGCCTGCGTGTAACGCTCCGCGGCCTCAAAGATATCTCGGATGGCGTCCTCCGTAGTGGCACTCCAATCGAAAATCAGATGCACCAGATTCTTGAGTTGATTGCGCTGCAGGCAGTCCACCAAATGAGTTAAGCCTTCTCTCCCTATTGGATTTCCGGCGAGGTTAAGTGTGTGGAGTGGCGCGTTTGCATTTTGCAGGAATCGCAACATATCTGCTACTCCAGTCGCCGTTAGCTTGTTATCTTGCAAGTCCAACAACTCCACGCCAACATCTTTTAACGGTCTACCATTTTCATCTCCAGTGCTCGTTTGTATCTGCTGTTCATTGCAGAGTCGTCTCCAAATTGAATCAGAAAGCTCGCAGCTGCACAGCCGTAAGCGAAAAATCGACTCACTTTGTAACAACGTCGAGAGCACCCGCACGTGCCTTCTTAACATTAGGTTTGTTTTCTCCAAAACCAGTGTCAGGCTGCGTTTCATGCGTTTATTCAAAACTAAGCAGAGGTCCTCCAGTATCATTTCTCCGACCTCGGCTTCTTCTCTCGATAAACCCTCACTTGCATCGCCGGTCTCCATCGTTTCCACGACAAAGGGGCAATGTGTCCCCCTTTCTTCCTCTCTCAGAAAAACGGTCGAGAGACAGGGAAGCGCCTGGAGAAGTGCGGGAAGAAATTCATATTCGGGATCTTGACGGCGGAAGGCATGAAGTCCGAATAGCTTCAGCGTTTCCAGCGAGGGAAGCTTCTTCAGTAGTGGAATGCAATCAGAAAAGCGATACTCTGGCGCATAGAGATTATCCGTACCGCAGAGAATCAGCGACTCAAGCTGCTTCATGTGGGGAATCCATTCCTCCAGCTCCTCAAATTCTTGCATCTGAAGAAGCAAATAAACACGCATTTCGGTGAGGCAATTATCATGTTTGAGGACGCTTCCTCGAACAAATGTCCCCAGGGTCAGGTACTCTCTCGACATTCGGAGATTAAGGTTCCGTTGTTTTTCTAGGAGGAGATTTCTAGTCGCGGCTTTGTAGCGCTCGTATGCCTCGTCTGAGTTTACCACCAACGCGGGTACGGTTCGATCAAGTTTTCGGAAACGAATCGCCGGCGGAATTGCTCCCTGCTGCAACTGCTCTTCTGCCACGCTTACAGAATCCGAAAGAATTCGTGTTTGGTCACCATTTTCAAGAACGATGCAGAACTCCCAAGGCATGACTGGCTTGGCTCGACAGCCGAGCCTGTCACAGATTGTGTGCTTCAAGGAAAGTAGCTTGAGCACTGTCCCCTGTTCAAATGGACCATCTTCGCGAATGCACAACCCGACAGCAGCTCCAGGAAGAGTCAATCTTTCGGAGCCTTCTGCGCCCAAGACGTCGTGGCTCTCTCCTGAAATCGAAAACACGAGGTCATCGTTGTCTTTGCTCATCGTGGTCATAGTTCTCTTTTACGACAGGTCAAAGTAAAACAATAAAGGAAAATTAAGAAGAGTAGAAACGTTATGGATCGATGAAATAAACTAAAAAAGCGAATACAAATCTCCCGACTTGCAGTTTCTTGTAGGCAGCAATGTAAGTTGAAGAAGTTTAAGAAAACAATACTTGCATTTGCACACGAAAACTAATAATATGCAGTATGGCTAACGCCAAGCAACAAACAAGCATATGTACATATGTTTGTATCTACCTAGTATAGCTTAAACTGGATCAGTAAAAGACTTGAGATGATGAATCAGGTACGATCTATCTGCCAATGAACAAACAATGACTAATACATCTGGGCCAATCAAAAAACAAAGTCTCAATAAACACTATAAAGTTCGCGCTGACAAAGCACTACGCCCAACAATCAGAAGAAACAAAAACCTGAGAATTTATTAAAGAGAAAGATATATTACCAAGAGAAAGCAATCTCGTTCGGCAGTCTGCTTAGCTACACTGGCAAAGACGATAAAAATGTACTGAAAAAATACGTATTGTACTTGGGAGTCTCGCAACGGGCTCAGGGATGAAATACTCAAGCGGGTTTTATTGATCTCAAGCTTTTTCACAACATCGCATTCTCAACATCTATCCTGGATCTCTAGTCGCTCTGAAAAATGTGAAATCGATGAGCGGAAAGAACTCAGTTGTCTTCTCTGCGGAGCTCCAGGTCTTCGTCGTTGATAGGATTTCATAAAATATAGGCACCTAGCTTTACACAAGTTTTTGAGGAAGTAAACGAGTACCGCACTGTACTTTGGGCCATTTGTCAGGTTTTTAAGGGCAGGATAGGAAGTCCGGTGACCACTAACTGCTGCTCATCTGCTCATGAGCTAAACTAAATCTTCTAGTAAGTTATTGGTGTCTAATGATACAAATCGTACGTCTGGCGGAAGGTTGCTACTGCTACCCGTGTTGGTGCTCCACGATAGTCACTGCTTGAAATTGAACTTGATGTGGCTGTCCTCGTGCCGAGATCGAGACCTCGTGACTTTTTTCGGCATTTGAATTTGACGCGAAGTCGGAAATCCTCGCTTATCGCCACGACGTGGGGAAGGGCTAATAAGATGACGCCTGCTCATCTTCATCGGGAACTGGCGGAGCTTGGAGACCATAGTGTGTTTTTTGTTGCTTCAGCAGTAAGGCTTGCAATCTTGGCGTCTCTTTTGATTACTCCAAAGCACGTGATGAGAGCGAAGTACTTATAATATAACCGATTTTCGTCGTCTCTTATTTTCTCTACTTTCTCGCCCAAAGTGAAAGTCAAACTACTGTAAACGCAAGCCCAGCGAACTCGCTCAGTAAGCCAACATCGCCAAATAAAGCACACTGTGATCAGCCGTAAACATAAAATACGAAGCATAGCCATCCTAGTTCGCAAACTTTTGCTTTTTACATTCCCTAAATCGTGAAATAACAAATAATGTTTTGAACCGAAGAAGACCAAGATCTTTCAATATTAACGAGCTATTAAATTAAAAAACAACAACGACCCCGCCACACTCTCACTCTCCCACTTCCAAACCCCAAGCGCCAACTTATGAATTTATGAACTTCTGAACTTAGGAATTTAGGAACTTAAGAATTTACGAACTTAGGAATTTAGGAATAATTAAATTTTAATTTGTGAATTTAGGAATTTAAGAAGTTGGGAAGTTGTGAATTTATGAATTTACGAAGTTGCGAATCAATTATTCGAAGTTGCGAATTTATGAATTTAAAAACTTGCGAGTTTACGAATTTACGAACTTACGAATTTATGAACTTACAAACTTAGGAACTTACTAATTTCTGAATTCATAAATTCATAAATTTTCTGAGTTGATGAATTTACGAGTTTGCGAATCTATGAATTTCTAAATTTCTGAACTTCTGAATTTATGAATTTATGAGTTTCTGAATTTCTGAGTCTGTCTATGAGGTTCTAAATTTCTGAATTTATCAGAGGTCGCGAATCAAGTCCAGGAGATTGAACCGCAGAAAAACTCGGCAAAGTCGAGAGTTTTTGGGTTTGATAAGAAGAGTGACGAATTGTTTAGATTGTAGCCGCTTTCATTAGTAAGTCATTAATCCACTTCTTGAGTTTAAGCTCAAGTCTGGGTTTGATAAATTGAAAGTAAGCCAAGAGATTGAATCTCGGCAAACCTTGGTAAAATCAAAAAATTTCGGATTTGAGGAATTGAGACCCAGGGTAGAGGTAGAATTTTCGGACCAGCTTGCCAAAGTCAAAGTTTTTAGATTTGAGGAATTGAAGCCCAAGAAACTGAATCGCGCGAAAGCTTTGCAAAATTGAAATTTTTTGGATTTGGGCGGTTGAAATCTCAGAAATTGAACCTCGGAAGAACTTGCGAAAGTCAAAAGTTTTGGGATTTGACAAATTGAATCCCGGCGAGACTCGTTAAAGTTGGAAGTTTTTGGATTTGAGAAATTCAAACCCAAGAGATTGAATTTCAGAAAAGCTCACCAAAGTCGAAAATTTTTGGATTTGAGTCCCAAATCCAAGAAATTGAATTTCAGACAAACTTGCTATTGCTAAAGTCAGAAGCTTTCGCATCAATTTGAGGAATTCAAGCTCAAGATCTCAGATCCAAGGTTTCAGGCAAAACCTTTCAGGCCCGGCACTCCTTTCGAGTCCAAAGCTTCAGCTTGCAAGTCCAGAGCTAGCTTCAAAATCAAAGCGCCAAGCCCGAGGCGTAGCGCCTCGAGCTTTGCTGAAGCTTAAAGCTTCACACTGCAAGCAGTCGCGGGCTTCAAGCTGCATGCCAAAAGATTCCATCAATCTCGCCCCAAGTATCCACCTCAAAGACTTACGCGCAAAGCTTCGCTCTCAAGACTCCCAATCCAAAGCCCTGCACTAAATTCAAATTTCAAAAGCCGACACACCTTGAGACATCTCAAAAACCTCAGAGACAGAAGCGACCCCCGCCCTCTGTTAAATTCCGCGGCGCCTCTGTTCCGACTCCTCTGGCGCGGACAACTTCGCCAGGAAAGCGCCGCGAGCTGGCGGAAAAGGAGCGGGGGAGGCGCGCCTTGGCGAAGGAAATGCTCGAAGAAGGTGGAGGATTCTAGTGGAGGGAGAGCTATCGGGCGCTGAAGTCTAGTATCTAGATTAAGCTAACACCTGCATCGAAGAGCGACAGCCACGCTGCCGGTTGTTCGTTGGGAGCCGTCATTGATTCTTTGTCCAGCTAAGCAGCACTAGCGGTAAGCATTTTGTAAGACTTACATGATCATACATAAGTCAGAGTTATTAAGAGAGTAGTTAGTAACTACTGGAAAGAGGAACGAAAAAATTTGAGTCTTTAGAAGAAACTGGCCTGAGCTTGTTTCTCGCACAGGCGCTTGCTTCGATAGGGGGGGGGCAGCAACGTTGCACACCCAGCACCGCTCAGCTGCACATGGATGGAAGTTGATGTTGAGCATGAACATACAGTAGGAGTAACTATTCTGAAGAATTACTCAAACCCTTGTCTTGTAAGAAGACACCTACTGTGAAGAGCCGTTGGGCATTGCGTATATTCAGCTGCTCCCTGCTGGACCTCCTTTGGAAATAATGTACTGCAGAGGCAACGAGAGATGGGTCTTCAAATCGGGCACTTCTATGTTTCTGCTCCTAGGTAGTGTCTCCCGACTAATACGCACATATATCGTCGTTCCGTTTGTAGATACTTAGTTAGGATACAAAAACATTCATTCACAAGTTGCGCTGGTACAATTTCAATATCTGCTCAGTTTCTTCTGAACCAGCCGAGTGGGCTTGGGGAGACGACCGCAAAAGCTACAAGAAGGACCAGCACTGCCGAAAAGATAATGAAAATTGACGTGCGGCTGCTGCTCTTCAACGTCACAGGGAACTGGAGTGCGAGTGAGGTAGCTGGCCCATCACCTTTCGGGATCGTTCTTGAGCTTCCTTGATTTCTGAACCGACTAAGCTGACGCTGCATTGAAGGGCCCTTGGGCAGAAAAAAGCCACCCAAGAGCTTGTGCCTAGATACTCTGTCGCGCTTCTTGGGTAAAAGCACCATCTTGGCTGGCGTGTCTCCCCTAACAACTTCACGTAAGCACTTTGCGAATGTGCGACCACGGTACTTCAACGCCAAGGCAAAGCAGTCCTCGCCATGATTGTTTCGCGCGGTAATGTCACAGCCTTGCTGCTGCAAAAGCGCCCAGACTTCTTTGAGCGACCTCGTGTACACCTTTCTCTTCGGTGAGGACATGCTTGTGTCCATATTCAAAAAATAGTCGTAGGGTTGCGGTTTGAGCAGCACGTCCGGCCGTGCGGACCTGGGGTAGAAACCGTCAGAAATTCGCCGAAACCTTCGGTTTATTGCGTCCACCCTTTCTGACCAAACAGGCGCATTTGCTTCATGCATGAGCAAGAGAAATGCTGTGTTGCCGGTTGCCGGGTCTCTTCGGTTCACCTCGACGCTAGGGCAGCATTCCAAAACTTCACAAAAAGCAGCATAGTGCACGTTTCGGCCCGCATACATCAATGCTGAGCGCCCAAGATTATCAACTGCGTTCACTTCTGCCGCGGTCATCTCGTCCAGCAACAGGCGGGCAGCGTCCC